GAGCTAAACCCCGAGAGAAATATCGCGGCCTGAACAACCGTGCAGCCAGGGCCCACTGACCAACCAGAGGTTTCAGTAGTACACAAAGTATTTTAATATAAAACATGCCCCTAGTCATCAGTATATAATATACACATCTTGTATTATTTGAGTATTGCATTTATAATAGTTTCGGTTTTTTACAGCATCAGCAATACGTTCGAGAACGGTGGTGTGCATATGTTAAAAACGTTCGGATATAATCATTTAAATGTTTATTTCAATTACAGTGAACCATTAAATGTGCGGTGTTCAAGTGAGAATAATACTCCAGTTGAAATCGTTTTGAAAAAACTAATATTTTACCATCAAATTCTAATTTAGTGGGAGTGCTGCTATACAATTATATCGGTTGGGGGCTGTTCTGTGGCTCAGCTGTTGTGTGCTGATTTGACTGTGGGCTACTGCGGCTGCTGTCTGGTTGTGAGTTTTCGTGGTTATTAGGGCACATCTGCTGTGCTGTGTAGTTAAACCGACGGTGTAATTTGTCTGAATATGGTGTACATCTGTTGTGTCAATGTGTGGGAGAGTGGTGATTTTATTGCAACGTGGTTGAGCGGTGGTGTTATTTCTCTTTCAAGTCTAAGGCTACAATCCGCGTTGTGGTTAAGTGTTTTTTTTGTCACGTGTATGAGTGATTATGTTATTACAGAGTGGCAGTGTTACTGCCACGTGATTAATTGACGGTGCCATTACCGCATGGTTGAATGGTGCTTGTGTTGCAGGGTGACAAGTGATGGTGACATTACATTGCATTATTTATCTATACTAACCTTGACTACATCTGTGGCTGTGTGAAAGCTTAAAGCCTCACACGTTATCCTGATAACTAGCCCACAGTACAGTAGTAACTACATGACAACTTGAGTTTGAAAAAGGAAATACTACTACAACGTAGTGAGGTATTTCTCTTCCTCTTTCACTGTGTCTTAAATAGATTTGTTCTAAAGAAAAGTGAGCTGGCATTTTGTTCTCTCAAATTTGGCCATATAAAAACTATACCTCCTTTAAAAATGATTCCCTCTGAAGGATACATTTACACATGTCCAGTGTTTTAAGGAACTGAGGAGTGAACGAGGATACATGTGTTATGTGCAGAAGTGGATTTATTTCAATGATTATATACTGTTGTTGATTGGGATAAACAAACGTGGTTTATGTTAATGCTTTCCAACTAAGGTTGAAAGTGTTCATGCATTTGCCTTGCCTGTTTGTCTAAAACGGTGGGTCACTTCATAGAAAACCACCCACGTTGATTACAGGTTTGTCCAAAACCTAGAGATAAAAAAACCAGCGCTAAAAAGATTCGTCTTGATATTTGCGCATCACCGTTTTGTAACCTCGTTTGAATTCATACTCTTTGGGTTTTTCGGTAAAGTCACGTAGGTAAAAAATAAAATAAATGAAAACAACTAAATAAAATCACGACGTTTCATTTATTTCCTTTTTTACCTACGCGACTTTTCCGAAAAAACCAAAGAGTATGAATCCTTGCAGTCACGAAAGCTTCAAATCTCGTTTGTATTGTCGAATTAATCTCGAATGAACTCACCCGTCTTGCCATTATGACAATTTCAGAGCATCAACATCAACCTGGACCTATCCACGGCTGGACGAAGGCCTGTCCACGTCGTCGACATCGCTCAGTATTGCGATGCCACAAAATCCTGCTCTGCCCATATTGCCTTACAAGAAGATTGAATGAGTCAATGCCATCACCCCCTCCTCACTCTTCAGCAGGCGACTATCCAAGGCTCACATCTGGTGCGAGCGATACTGTTATTGCTGTCAATGAAATACTTACACCGCCCAACGTATGTTGGAAAGGTTAAAGAACACATGCGTATGCATGATTTTTCATGTATATGTTTTAATCCAGTCACTCTGGCTCTCAAGCCTTACACAAATACACAGCACTCACATATGTGATCAAAAGAGTGAATTGGAACATCAGTGATAGACTAACTGTTGCACTAATCACCATACACACTGGGTTTGTAATACAAATTTGGAGAAATTAATTTACTTAATTGGAATTAAGTATTCTGTTATTTCAGCTAACATGCATTTATTAAAAAAAAATTAAGCCTTGATTGGGAGACATGCTTTTCAAGTATATTTTACCATTCGTCCATGCTACTTGCAAGAATAGAATTTTGCTCAATTTTTTTAGGAAAGGCTAACTGGAAACGAGTACAGTAGAATTACTATTGTACCGTGCGAAAAATATAAAAATATAACTTTCTGCATGTGCAGGAATACAATGTACAGTCCTGTTTTTTTGCATCAAATTATTATTCTTAACGTCCTGATTGACAAAAAATGTTCAAGGAAGGATATATTTTTAATCCACTACACACCATTGACTTAGTAAATAATTACAATGATAATAGACTTGGTGTTGGAATCCATAGATTATTACACTAAGCACCAAAATAAATTAGTGCAATACCGTATTGTATGTCACCATTTACCACTGCATTCAAAATGAACCCTATTATCATCTACTACTTTCAGAATCAATGTTACTTTTCTAAAACGTGAACTCATGCAGGAGCATAAATTGCTTTCAATGATGTATCATGATCTGCACATGCTATTTTCTTAGCTTGAATTTCCCATCCAAACGTGTTATCGACCAGTGCTTCTAATATTGTCTACAGAAGAAAAGTCTTCAGTGGCATACATTTTATTTGCTCACCCTCCCATACTGCACATCTGTGAAAAAGAGCTTAATAGATTATCGGATTCATGCAGTCTAAAGAAAGATTCGTATTGAAGGATATATTATTGTATTATCTAGAACCCACACTTTCGTAATCTTTACTTACTCTCACCAAACAGCAAAATATTAGGGTCTAGCATTTAAATCCAAAACTCCCGAGTCACTCACTCCTGGACATCTATGAAAACATAGCTTTATAGCTCCATAATAGGTTTTTGGATTAGTTTGAGTAAATATGAATTTCATTAAACCCACCACCAACCGGCATAGCCAATTAGTAAGGTTTATCACGTAAATGAAACATGCCAATTCGTTACTGGCACAGCACACCAGTGTGTTGGAGTGTAAACCCACAACATTTACAATTCGAGAACGACGTTTCGCCAGTAATTACAACCAGCATCATCAGGCGACAACTCTGGCTGTTTTATTTACGTGACAAACCTTACTAATTGGTTGTGTCGGGTGGTGGTGGCGAGTTTCACGACACATTTATATTTACGCGATCAAACCCAAACAAAAACCTCGTGGATAATATTGCTCGCGAAAAGCCTACCACGGGTTAAACAAAACTGAGTTTTTATAACTCCGGTACAAACATGTTCTGACTGTGATCGAGTACTTTAAAAAATATATAGCGAAACAAATGTAGTGAAGAATCGTTGAACGCAAATGACAAAAATCATCACCGGTGACTTTTTAAGATTGCCGGGGTTACATTTGACTGTGTGGTTACATCTGACGGTGGGGTTATTGGTAGCGGTGTAGTTACAGCTGACGGTGTGGTCACATCTGAAAGTGTGGTCACATATGACAGTGTGGTTACATCTGACGGTGTGGTCACATCTGACGGTCTGGTTATTGGTAGCGGTGTAGTTACATCTGATGGTGTGGTCACATCTGAAAGTGTGGTCACATATGACAGTGTGGTTACATCTGACGGTGTGATCACATCTGACGGTCTGGTTATTGGTAGCGGTGTAGTTACATCTGACGGTGTGGTCACATCTGAAAGTGTGGTCACATATGACAGTGTGGTTACATCTGACGGTGTGATCACATCTGACGGTCTGGTTATTGGTAGCGGTGTAGTTACATCTGACGGTGTGGTCACATCTGAAAGTGTGGTCACATATGACAGTGTGGTTACATCTGACGGTGTGATCACATCTGACGGTCTGGTTATTGGTAGCGGTGTAGTTACATCTGACGGTGTGGTCACATCTGAAAGTGTGGTCACATGACAGTGTGGTTACATCTGACGGTGTGATCACATCTGACGGTCTGGTTATTGGTAGCGGTGTAGTTACATCTGACGGTGTGGTCACATCTGAAAGTGTGGTCACATATGACAGTGTGGTTACATCTGACGGTGTGATCACATCTGACGGTCTGGTTATTGGTACGTGTGTACATCTGACGGTGTGGTCACATCTGAAAGTGTGGTCACATATGACAGTGTGGTTATTGACGGTGGATACTGGACGGTTGGTTATTGGTACAGTGTGGTTATTGACGGTGGGGTTATTGACAGTGTGGTATTGGTAGCGGTGTGTGGTTATTGGTAGCGGTGTGTGGTTATTGGTAGCGGTGTGTGGTTATTGGTAGCGGTGTGTGGTTATTGGTAGCGGTGTGTGGTTATTGGTAGCGGTGTGTGGTTATTGGTAGCGGTGTGTGGTTATTGGTAGCGGTGTGTGGTTATTGGTAGCGGTGTGTGGTTATTGGTAGCGGTGTGTGGTTATTGGTAGCGGTGTGTGGTTATTGGTAGCGGTGTGTGGTTATTGGTAGCGGTGTGTGGTTATTGGTAGCGGTGTGTGGTTATTGGTAGCGGTGTGTGGTTATTGGTGGCGGTGTGTGGTTATTGGTGGCGGTGTGTGGTTATTGGTGGCGGTGTGTGGTTATTGGTGGCGGTGTGTGGTTATTGGTAGCGGTGTGTGGTTATTGGTAGCGGTGTGTGGTTATTGGTAGCGGTGTGTGGTTATTGGTAGCGGTGTGTGGTTATTGGTAGCGGTGTGTGGTTATTGGTAGCGGTGTGTGGTTATTGGTAGCGGTGTGTGGTTATTGGTAGCGGTGTGTGGTTATTGGTGGCGGTGTGTGGTTATTGGTAGCGGTGTGTGGTTATTGGTAGCGGTGTGTGGTTATTGGTGGCGGTGTGTGGTTATTGGTAGCGGTGTGTGGTTATTGGTAGCGGTGTGTGGTTATTGGTGGCATTGTTGTTGGTGGTGGTGTGTGGTTATTGGTAGCGGTGTGTGGTTATTGGTGGCATTGTTGTTGGTGGTGTTGGTGTGTGGTTATTGGTGTTGGTGTGTGGTTATTGGTGTTGGTGTGTGGTTATTGGTGGCATTGTTGTTGGTGGTGATGTGTGGTTATTGGTGGCATTGTTGTTGGTGTTGGTGTGTGGTTATTGGTGGCATTGTTGTTGGTGGTGGTGTGTGGTTATTGGTGTTGGTGTGTGGTTATTGGTGGCATTGTTGTTGGTGGTGTTGGTGTGTGGTTATTGGTGACAGTGTGTGGTTATTGGTGTTGGTGTGTGGTTATTGGTGGCATTGTTGTTGGTGGTGTTGGTGTGTGGTTATTGGTGACAGTGTGTGGTTATTGGTGTTGGTGTGTGGTTATTGGTGGCATTGTTGTTGGTGGTGTTGGTGGTGTTGGTGTGTGGTTATTGGTGGCATTGTTGTTGGTGGTGTTGGTGTGTGGTTATTGGTAGCGGTGTGTGGTTATTGGTAGCATTGTTGTTGGTAGCGGTGTGTGGTTATTGGTGGCAGTGTGTGGTTATTGGTGGCAGTGTGTGGTTATTGGTAGCATTGTTGTTGGTGGCAGTGTGTGGTTATTGGTGGCAGTGTGTGGTTATTGGTGGCAGTGTGTGGTTATTGGTAGCATTGTTGTTGGTGGTGGTGGTGGCGGCAGGAGGGGGGGGGCCGCTCTCGCCACCGCGCCGGGCGAGGCGCTCACTTCCTGCCGCCGCTCGCCTAATGCGCGAAAGCCTCGGCCTAGAGGGCCGCGTCTCTTTTTATTTTTTTCCCCTCTTCTCTTACAACACCCCCCCATCATCATCTCATCTTCCTACTCTATCTCTCTCTCTTTCCCTCTCTCTCTACCCTCTTTTGTTAACGCCGACTCGGATTCTTCTCCGGACACTCGCTCTCCGCGTCTCCTCGAGTAATTAAGCGTCGGCGTTTCTCGCCGCGAACGCCTTCGGGGGTGGTGTTTGTGTGGTGTTGGTGTGGTGTTTGTGGTGGTGGTGTGTGGTGGTGGTGTGTGGGGTTTGTGTCCGCTACAGTTTAATTCGACGACGGTCCGCGAAACCAGCGGTCCCCGTGTCCCACCAACCCCACCGCCGCCACCCACACGACCATCCCCGGACGATTCTCTTCACCCACCGCCCCCCTCACGACACCGGAGTGTCATTTTCCTTGTCCACCCTCTTCACATTTAATCGGTGGACGTGTCTACACTCATCTCCCCTCTCCTCCTTCTCCTCCAGCTGCATCAACTATATCACCGACTTTGTGTGTGTGTGTGAGAGAGAACAAAAACATTCAAGCTCTTATTTTTTGGGGGGGGGCACCGTGCCCCCGGCCCCCCTAAAAAAACTGCAAACGGTGGAGCTCGGCGGCCCCCCCCCCCCCCCCCACTGGGCCCCCCACGGCCACCCTCAGCTCAACAAAACAACAAAAAGCCCCCCACGCACGAGGCGCGGACACGGGGCCGAAGACACAAGACTCATGGACACGGGGAGGTAAGTGGTGGAGGGGTTTTGGGTTGTGGAGGTGAATGGAGTAAACACCGTGGTGGAGGAGAAGAAGGTGAAGATGAAGGAGGTGTTAGTGGTGGTGGTTGTTGTTGTTGTTTCTCTCCTCTCCATTCTCTCGCGAGGCGGAGAGGCCGAGAGGCCTCGGGGCCCCGGGGGCCGTCGTGGGTCGCCCGCCCGGGTTGGACTCGGGGCTCGGGGGGCCCGTGCTGGGGTGGCAGGAGGCGCTGTGATTACCAGTACTTCACAGTACATATCGTGATGTAATCGTGGATTTCGGCGTTGTGTTGTCGGATACTGTGTGTTACAAGGCCCAGTAGGGTTCCGTGTCAAGATTATGCTGGGTGTGGGTGTTTTGTTTCAAGAGTTTTCCGCTGCATAAAGGTATTGACACGCGTAGCTTCACTTTAATCGATATAGATAATCGACGTACCAGGAAGAAGCTCGCCGAATTCTAATAGTTTTTTTTTGTTCAGGAGGATCCTTTCGTTATTATAAATGGTTGGCTTTTAGGTGGTGACACTGGCATCAATAACTGCCCTCTGCTGTTAAAATCCTTAAGTCTCACCACTGATATTCAAGAGTCCATTCTACATTGAGATGTTTGGCTTAGCTGGGTGACAACTGTGATCTCGTCTTGCGTCAATAACAGCACTCCCGGTCGATCCTTTAGTTGTTTCACCATTTGGGAAGCCTCGTCGAGTCTCGAGACCCATTGGCAAGAGAGTCCTGCCACATCGGGATGTTTGGCTCATGATCTGGGCAAGGAAGCGATGCTCAGCACTGCCATCTATTGGGCCCCATGCCAATTACACTCGGCAATCTCCGGTAGTTCACACAATTCAGAGTGTTGTTTGTTATTGTAGTAACCAAACTCGTACTCTGCTTTACCCCCCTTTCCTAGATCCGACGAGGTGGGTCGTATTTAGGGTGACGAGGTCGTTAAGCAAAGGGCATCCTCGTATTCGCGATGGCACCTCGCCATCCTTCAGCTTTGTCGTGAGCGCATGTGTCACTTTTGTCCCCTTGCGAAATGGGAATAAATGAGGCTGTTTGTCTCCACGTTAAACTGAGATTGGGCAGTCTCTTTCACGTTCATCAAGCCTACGGAGGAAGCCACCTTTTCGTTACCGGTGTGTTCCAGCAGACTTGGTTTAAGCAGGAAACGCTGGACACGAGTTTCGTACAGGACTGGACCGTACAGTATACCAATATTACCGGTTGTAAAACACCTTTGGCTGATTTCTTAAAATTCCTTTTTTTTTCCACTTTAAATAATACATTTTAGAGAAAATTATCTAATGTATGTGTTATATGCAACCGGGCACTGGGTCTGTATGAATAAGTAGTATACATTTATTAGTTATTTGAATCGAAATTATTTGAATCGAAATTTCACCGCTTTTGTTGAGTGGGTTTCGAATAACTTAACATTTTACAAAATGGAATGGCTCTACTTGAAACATTCAACTGGCATGATGTACTTTTATTTACGCGTTCTGTTCATTTGGTTGTACTTACATTTTACTGATAAGAGTTGTCTGTGATATTTATCACATGCAGTCATTTCGCCATTGTTATTCCACGGGCCCAGCATGCATTTGCTGTATTATAAAAAACAAATGACACGTTGCATGTTCGTCCTGGTTTTTAGTTGGATAAGTATACGTTTGTAAATACTGTATGTGTATATTTTCAGAACTCTATCGTTGTTACCATAGACCGGGATTCCAGTTCAATGAAGTTGAAATAAGCGCATTTTAATCTGTTGCAATTATGCAGAAATAACTCGTAATAAAAATGTAATCTGTTTTATGAATAGAATGACTACAATTTATTTTACATTGATTTTAAATTGTATTAATCATACTTCAAACTACTCCGAGAATCATTAATAATCTAGACTGCCCTATTATTCTGCATACAGGTGATTGGTTCAATGGGATTCACATCTTACTTCATTCCCAATAATCCCCATGAACCTAAAATCAAAAATAAATAGCTGCGTTTTACCACTGAACAGCATGCATGCACCACACTGATATGGGATGCAATAGTTTCTGCAATAGCTGAAGTGTAAAAATAAAGTGTAATTGTCGTAGAAGTATTGTAACTTAATTAGTTATCACCTCAATAGAAGTGCAATTATGTGCTGTAGTAGCAAAAAGTTAGAGGAAGATGTCATTTAGCTGCAGGTCACGAGACGTGCATCACCGTTCAAGCCCTCTATTGGTCAGTGTGTGAATTAATGTGTTCAGGTACTGATCTGCCAAAGAGGTTGAGTTTGGCCTTAAAAAAATATAGGCAGCGGTAATATTAAGTAACTTGATGCATGTCAGATAATATATTACAATCGTTAAACTTTATGTACCTGCTTACATAACAAGCCGGAATCTTAAAAGCATGTTGTATTTGTGTGCTGTCATACAATCTCATTAGGTCTGGCATTTGACAGCGATATGGCGGTGGAAGTAGGACACGGAGACTAACGTCTCCATATGACAACCCCAGCACACATTTCGCACAGTGTTCTCAGCACGGACATTCGACGTTGCAAAGTGAGTCCTCTGATGCAACGCATGTCAAACGAAATAGCCGATGGTTGTTTTTTGTACTCGGAAGATGTTTGACATCGGAGGGAGCGCATTCATTTTAAATGCATAAAAAATGTATGCCCGTTTACGTTTTAATGATTTCACTTTCAAACTTCAGTACGTCCTTATAGCTGTATAAACAGTTTTGAAGAGTCTGCCTTTATGTCAGCCTTGCACAACAAACCAGTAGTTGTTGGAAAGAGGAAAATATTAACTTGTCAAGCAGCTGACAACCATCGTGCATGAATTGGAAATTGATGGTTGTCATTTTTCAAGAGCCGAACTATGCTTTTCCGTTTGTAGACACTTGATATGCTTTTTCAGAGGGAAAAATCCCGAAACCATTTGCTAAAAATATTACCACACAAGTCAGGTTTAAAATAAAAGATGTACTTTTGTATACCATTATGCGCATGTGGCTTTAAGAGCATGTGTCTATTATGAGTCCATTTATATGCACGTTTGCTTGTTTCCATATGCATATTTATGTACAATCGAGTCTTCTAACAATATTAAGACACCTTTTTTTGTTTATTCAGGCCATGGTGTTTGAGAACCGCAGCTCACGCTACGCACCCAGCACAGGCATGACACCCAAGGAGCTTTGCGACAATGATGACCTTGCTACCAGCCTGGTTCTTGACCCCTACCTGGCCTTCCAGACTCATAAGATGAACATCAGGTATGTTGCATAGGAAAATCATGGTCAGACAGTTCACGCGGCCTTCTCAATATACCCATTTCACCCTGTTCTCCTTTCATAACTTTACACACGAACATCCACAAATTACATTTATTTTATTTTGTCGAAATGATGCCAATTAATTCAGAATTTTCTGAAAAGCATGGTTGTTTATTAAAAGGTTTTGATTTTGCCGGGCATTAAAAGTGCTCTGTATTGTAGATTTCGTCCTGTGAAGGGGCGGCAAGAGGAGTTGAAGGAAGTGATGGAGCAATTAAAGAAGGATGGTGATATAGAAAAGGCCTATCTGGGGCTGACATCTGGTGATTGGGCCCGCCACTACTTCCTTACCAAGAACAAAGTCCAGGAGCAGACCCTGAAAGAACATGTGAGTGTAAATGTCACCATCTGATTTTTATGTTTGCAACATAAATGGGAAATCAAGCGAAGATGAAAAGAGTGGGGCACGTTTTGATATGATGTATTTTTGTGTTCCTTTGTACAGGTGTTCCGGTATCTTCGTCCATTTTTGACTGAGAGTGGCTTTGAAATCCTGCCGTGTAATCGCTACTCTTCGGAAACAAACGGGGCTAAAGTGGTTGCAACAAGAGCGTGGTATGATTTCATACTTTGGCAGTGTACAGAAAGATCGTGAAGATTTTTGTTATTGTTGTTGGAGTGTGTAAAATCTGTACATTATTAGCATTTGTTTCACCAGGTGAGAGTTCATTGAGATTAATTATTCATTTGCAATTTATTTTTGAGTAATATTGACATATGTAATTTCAGTTAGTGCATGGGCATAACATGGTCTACTCATGTAAATGGTGTGACAGGGTCTTTACTGTGCAAACTTACAGCTTTACAGATCTTGCCTTTTGCAATTTATGCACATAAACAGTAATTCTTAAACTCCTTTTCAGGAAGAAGAATGACAAGATTGAGCTGCTTGTGGGTTGCATCGCAGAGCTGAGTGAGATTGAAGAGAACATGCTTTTACGTCATGGCGTGAATGACTTCAGTGTTATGTACTCCACACGGAAGAACTGTGCACAACTTTGGCTCGGTCCTGCAGCCTTCATCAATCACGGTAATATGAAAAACCCAAATGGTTATTATTGACATATATGCTTGTAAATTCCATGTTATTGACATTTGAATGCTAGTTTGAATAATCATAACATACAGAAAGTAATCTAATCTTGTTGTACTTGTGTCTTTTGTTTGTTCATAATTTTGGGTTATACCTGCATGGACCGGCTTGGAACTAAACTGCAGACTGCAGGCCGAATTGCAAGGTACAAGTTGGGTACTATTACACAAACTGATATACTGCAAACATGCCACATAAGCTTTGTGATAGGACACTTGCAAAGAATCCATGTGTTGACTTACGATTTAACATTGTCGTGGTTCTTCAGTTCGTGTCAACAGGGCGAGACACGGCCTGCGTGAAGGTGCTTAGAGACATTGAGCCTGGTGAGGAGATTTCCTGCCACTACGGTGATGGTTTCTTTGGGGAAAACAATGATTTCTGCGAATGTTACACTTGTGAGAGGTAAGCATGTGTGGCCCCTGCAACATCAATACACAATCAAATTTGGCATACAGCTCACCCGTGACGATTTTATTTCACTGAACTTAACTTTTGATTTTGTGTTTTTAAAGGAGAGGAGAAGGTGCCTTCAAATCAAAAGCGAAAGCCAACGTCGAAGGCACAATAACTAACAGCAAATACGGTTTCCGGGAGACTGACAAGCGGATGAACAGGTTAAAAAAGCTGAGCTCGACAGGCCAGGATGGATGTCGGGATAAAACTGCCAATCCTGCTCTACTTCAGAAACAACAGCACTTGAGTAGGCATACCGTTCTTAAATGTCACCATTTATAAAATTGTGCTCGGCTAGAAAATGCAGGTTTTTTTTTAAAATTGCTCTATTGTAGTTGAAATTTTGGTAGTCATTGCTTTTCTATTTTGCTGCAGTACAAGAAGGACCAACGGGTCGGCTCAGGAGGAGCCGAGGGAAAGACAAAAACGCATGGAGCCTGCCAAGCTCCACCCTCACCACGCCCAACAGCTGTGGCTGTGACACAAAAAAATCGAGAAAGCTGAACAGGACCAAGCCAGCCAAATCCACCAGACAGACAGCAACTAAACACAACTCTTGGGCTGAGTATTGCAATGGTGTTGGCCCCAATGGAAAAGCTGTCTGGAAAGGCCGGGGCTCAGACAGTGGTGGGCTTAACAGCAAGGCTGTGTATAAAGGAAGGATGTCGGATAGCGTGGCAAATGGCAAATTAGTGTGGAAGAACCACGCTGCAGGATGGTGTCAATGGAAAAGCTGTTTGGAAGGGTAGGATGTCAGGCAGGAGGGCTGTATTGGTTAATGCACCCCTAGCCCAAAGAAGATGTGAGAGAAGGACCAGATCGTCTACCGCTTTTGACGAGATGCTTGCAGAGTGCCAGCACGCAAATGATGAGGACGATGCGGAGGTGGTGGAAGTTGATGGAGATGTTGAGGAAGCACAAACTGAACGGGCTCGAGTTTCGCAGTCAGAAGCGAGCGACAATCATACAGACAGTGTGAAGCTTGCACCTTACCAGAGGAAAGCTTCACAAGGTTGCCGCCGCAAGAAGAAAAGGCAAACGAGACGGCGCTTAATTTTGGATAAATCTGGTAAGGCGTGTGATACCACAGAACTCACTCCAAGTCTCATCAGCCCTTTGTCAGACTCTGTGTGGGACTGTAATCGAGAAGCATCTGAGGCAGACCCAAGTACACCCACAGCGTGGTCACCGAATGGTTTCCTCACTGCCACCTCTACAAATGAAAGGCACGATGGCGCAGTGGATGGTCACGTGCTGGAGAGGGTCAAAAGTGGCTCACCGAGCAAACGAAAAAAGAAGCATCCTATCACCCGCTACGATGCACAGCTGATTCTGGAGAACAACACGGGCATTCCCAAGCTGACTCTGCGACGGCGACGCAACTCTGGTCACGACAACGGCGAAGGCTCGGAGTCAAGTCCGCACGAGTGGATGCAGCACAAGATGTCCCGCGAACGGCTGCAAGAGCGTGTAGCTGCAACGGACGCTACGTTTTCTCACGGCAGTGGTGGCAGTAGTGGCAGTAGTGGATCCAGCGAGGGTAGCTCGTGTAGGGAGGACAGCCATAATGACGAACCTGACGAAGGCGTACTTTACTTTCCACAGGTTAAAAGGTTGCGCCTGATTGTTGGAAACGATTCCATAGACATTGACATTTCCTCTCGGCAGAAGGAGCTGGCACTACGGAGACAAAACATTAACAGCCATGGTGAAACTTGATAAACGTTGCACATAAATTGTCACTGTCCCGAGTTTATCTGCATTTTATCTTGAGGCAGCTTATCTGTTCCTGTAAGTTTCTTGAAATAACATTACCAGATGTTCAATTCTCATCACACTTCATGTTTCATTTGTTCACATGTATAGTGCTGGGCCATAGTAAACTTGAAAGCATTATCAAATGAAATCAGATTTTGCAACTGTGCTTTCAAATTTCTTAACTCTCAGCTGGTTAGTCTCTATATACAACTCTACACTGTACAGTACTGTAGTTCAGTCTTATTTATGTTTTTTTTCCAGCAAATTTTACAAGTGACAACAAAAGTAAGTGTAAGAACATGGGTGATACAAAAGCTGTGGTCACGATAGTGAGTTTAATCTGGAGCTTAAAGTTCCTTTACAAAACTTGAATTAAGTTGAATATACAGGATCTCCATAAATGGTGTGCATTCTAATGCAGCGCTTGTGGTGCATTTTATATCCTACCTCTGTAATTGCTGTAAACATAGTACACTGACTTTAAAGTACTAGTGAGATGGATGTCTTAAATAGGGTGTTTACACTTGCCTGTCTGTCCCATCTGATCCCAGTTTTGCTCTGACCCATATTACATGCAAAGCACTAATATTATCACACTTGTGCAGACTACTACATTGGCAGTTTTTTGAAGCTGAAGTTTCACAATGTATCTGAAAAGTCACTTAACACAAATAGCATTTAACGTGTAAAATTCATGGCATCCAAATAAGTATAAGCAAATAGCGCAAGGGTGGACTGGGAGGCAAGGAGGGTAGTGTGGCAAGTATAACACTCCCTGTTAAAGGCTCTTTGCAGTTAGATCTGCATATATGTTGTGGCTGAACGTGTGAAGGTATTTTTAAAACCGTGATAAAAAAAACCGCACTGTGACTGTTTTAAATCCTTTAATCGTTGATTGAATGCAGCCACACTGGCCTTGCAAATTTTGCTGCACAGTTGTCTGAGGTTTTCTAAACATTGCATTTTACAGCAAACTTTGAAACTCTATGGGTGTAGATTTTCTTCACTGGTTTTGGTGTTTCCAAAAGCCTTCATGAAAAGTTTTTATTGCAAAAATAAAACAAAGAAGATTGTAAGAATAAAATGCAAAGCAGCGGATCATCAATTTTGGTCTTTGTTACACTACGTTTTTATGTGTATAATTTGTCCATATGCTTACCGATTAAAAAAAATAGTTGACAGTTGTCTTTCACTTTATGTATTATATGCAAGTGTGTAATGCACATTGGTGGTGCTGAATTAGCAATGCATTCCAACGGTGCAATTTCATTAAAGAGTACAGTACTACATGGATATGTTAACTCCTTTACACTTGTAACTGCCACTGCAAATGTATCATTTACAAAGATATCTTCCATTTTACCTATTGTGCCATTTACGACTTGAAGCCTTGCAGATATTTTAAATCATGGTATAGAGGCTTAATTACAAACAATCTCGATTGCATACTGCAATTTCTAAAAACAATATTGTCGTGGTCTTATTAAATTGCCAGATTAAACGTTTGGAATATCTTCAGTCGATTTTAGACTGTCATTGTAAATAACACTTTCAACTACATGGCCATGCACAACTCTGAAAACACTATACTAAGAAGCACAGTGATTTATTGGACAAACGCCTAAATATGTCTTTTAAAGTTTGATGAATCATCTGGGCATGTCACTGCAGCTCACATTGATGATAATGTAAGGTAATCCAAGAATTCAGGCTGGGTTGGGATTACCGCACCACCGTTCAACAACGGGCAGTCGCAGTGATGTCGCCACAGTGCTTGTGCCGGGCTAGATGCACAGAGTCAAGTGAACTGTCGAAAGTGCTGGCAGGAAGTCGTGGACATTCCAGATATTCTGAGTTAATTGAAGTGACTGCTATACATGCACCACCTGTACTTTTTACAATGCCAACTTGCTGTGTTTTAGCTATCTGGTGTGCTGCCTTTGTCGATTCTCTACCTCCCGTTGTTGTTAGAGAGTGGCTGATTTCAACTGTTAAGTCATTTTTTTATGAGCCCCTTCTACAGAGGCTGGGTCTTAACACCACTGGTTGCACTTTTCAACAAAACCACTCCATCTTCTTGGTTCTTTCGGTAAAGTCACGTAGAAGGAAAATAATAAAAATAAAATAATTCTCACGACGTTTCGGCCACAACGTCGTGAGAATTATTTTATGTTTTAATTTTATTATTTCCCTTCTCCGTGACTTTACCGAAAGAACCAAGAAGATGAATCCCTGCAGTCACGAAAGCTTTAAATCGAAAACCACTCCACTAAATGTCTGATACCACAGCAGTCCATGTTCTATTGAGCCTTATCCGGCCAATCAAGTTTATTGGGGAGTCCGTGCTTGCAAATTTGGGCAACTCCCAACGATGCATTCTCTCCAATTGGAGGCGTCCAATGATGTGCTTATGCCCAGATACGGTATTCAAGTATCTGAGATCGTATTCCAGCATGGTTAAATCCATGATGGAACAGTGAATATATGTCCAATATAGGTGTGTTTGTAAGGGGATCCACGTTATACAAGCATTGAGAAGATCTGGAGCTTCATGTCGAGTGACAAGCGAGGCAGTTTCACAGCATCAGACAGCTGATGAAAGGTTAACACCACTCGACAGATTAGGAGTGAGGTTTCTAGCCAAACCAAAGCTGACCATGAGCAGCGTCTTGGTATATGAACTCCACCCTCTCCATAGCCCACCCCCGTGACAAGAGATTTTAGGGGGTGCAATGTTTGATTACAGTATGCCAGGGAAGGTGGTTTGGTAGATATGGTAAGGCTCAATCTTTGTTTGACAAGCTCTAGGTTCTTCCTCAAATTGAGTGGCAATTACCAGTTTATCAGCATACATAGCATAACTTAGCAGTTGGGATCCATCTTTTGACTACCCTGGCATTGATCTTCCCATTGTATTTGAAAAAGATGGAACTTACACATGTAAACCTGTGGGATGCTTCTTGAAACACATTGTCAAAAAAGCTCGTGTTTGAGTTATAGAGCTATCCTTGCCGCACCTCCAAAGTGAAGGGAATGGCTTTGACTTCGTACCACAATGAAGGTTCTCATTGATCGTAAGTAGAGGGTCAGGAACATCCAAATTCACATATAAACAAAACCCATAGCCATATTATTTGTTCTTTAGAAGGGAAATAAAAGTATAAATATAAAAAAATATATCTATATTATTTTATTATTTCCCTTCTACGTGACTTTACCGAAAGAACCAATAATATGAATCCCTGTAGTCACGAAAGCTTTAAATCAAAACACATAGCCGTTTGATAGTATTGTAGACCTTAAACAGGTGAAACAGAGCTGCAGGTTCTGTTGAAATTATCTGAACCTCTGCTGTTGCAGATCGGCAGAGAATACAGTATAGTGTAGTATAGTGTCAGCATCATAACCCCTATTTGAATCTACATTGGGGCTTTGCAAGCTTATCGGTGTACCTGGACATTTTCTGGCACACTGAGGATGGAGACTGGAAATGTCCCAGTGCTGAAGTTACAATTGATGCGCTGTCTCCTTTATTATCAAGAAACACCACCAAGGCATCCTTCAAATGTTGCAGCACTTGTCCTGTTGTGGTGACGTTACAGAAGGAAGTGATAATATTAACCTTATAAACTTCGACACATTATACAATTTGGGTGGTGTTAACACACCCCGTGCCAGGCGCTCATTTACGGCTGAGTCGACCTAGGGGAAGGTCTGCACATGTGCAGATACCACGTGCGGCTGGGGCCTGGGTTTGTGTGTCGTGGGGGAATGGTCCCGGACGAAATTGGAGCGCGGCTAACGCGTGATTAGTAATAATGTGCCTAAAAAATAAGAAAGGTTTAAATCATTGCATATTGCCTCCTGTGGCATGTGGATCAGAAACATGGAAAGTTGAAGTCAACCCCAGCAAAACGAATGAAGAACTTAATAAAGCGAAGCTGTAAAGTGGTGCTCAAGATCAGCAAGAGAAAAACAAGTGATGTACAAGCGCCCATCTGTCAGGGGCACAACCGAAAGTACATCATTGTGTGTGTGTGTGTATATATATACCTAGGGCAGTTATTGAAAAGAGACTGAAATCAATGAAATAAAAAGGCGGATGAGAGCGGGGTTGGTGTGCTTTTGGAAACGGCACACGATTGCGAAAAGCAACGTCATGTGCCGAAAGAAGCGTGTTCCTATTGCGTGATACCAGCAATAAACATGTGGATCAGAAACGTGGACATGTTTACAGAATTAAGTAAGGGGCCGTCCATAAATGACGTCACGCACCTAAAGGTGGGGGGGGGGGTCAGACATTTGTGACGATGTGTGACGAGGGGGGGGGTTTGAGAAATGTGACGTCACATCAAAATGCGCAATTTTAAATAAATAGACAACACGTTCTACTTAATTAAATAGACTTTTTGATAAGTGTTTTCTCCTACAGCATCAGAGTGCAGCGCCACATTAAACACACACTACCATGACAATAGTTTAAAGCGATTTGAAGCATGTTTTATATTTTTTTTTGGGGGGGGGGGGGGGGCAGAGCTTTGTGACGTCATATTTGAGGGGGGGTCTGACTTTTTGTGACGACGGGGGGGGGGGGGGGGGGAAATCGTCCAAAATCGCGTGACGTCATTTATGGACGGCCCCTAATGTATGTGTTGAACTTCTTTCGTACCGTACGTAGTCAACCGTACGGAGGGGAGACATGTAAGCATGGTACACTGTACATATGTTGTGCAACTTAATGTAAGAAATGTTGCTGCGTAATGTGGCAACGTACACGATTTGTAATCATGGTCATTGCACGTGCAGTGGTATTCTGGTTCGCGTGCGCGGTGTTGGATTACGCTGCTTACCAGGAATATAAATATCTATCAGGTCGATTCATCTTTACGCGACACATGCATCGACTCGTATTGCGTGAATCGATTTTTCTTGTTGTTGTTGCTGCTATTAATGTACCGGCATGTCTGCCCTCTCGCGTTAACGGTAACGCACAAAGGAGACGCAGCCTAGCGCTTACAAACTACAGCGACTCATCTACTTACGAACATTCGACTTACGAACTTTTCAGAGATACGAACAAACCTGTCCGTATGTCCAGTTGCCTGTTCGGACCGAGAGTCGTAAGTTCAACCGCCGCGCAATAGACGGCGGTGGTGGCGTCTACATCTGCAGAACACGAAGAACCAGTGGCATCTACACGAAATTATATAACGTTTAAAGTAATTCCCCCGTGTTTAGTGTACATGCTGCACAACATGTTTGGAATCGAAAGGAGTAAAGTTGGACTTACTAACAAATCGACTTACGGACAGACCCTCTGGAATCTAACTCGTTTGTAAGTAGAGCGGTCCATGTGCACACGTCACAGATGAGATAAAAACGACGACTGTACAGAAAACAATCGCACAGAATATCTCTAAAACGGTGTCTAGATCCATTCCCCGCCCCCTTTGAAAACAGAAACCGCTCCGTGCCCTTCAGCGTCGACATTTTTTAAGCTTCCTCCTCCCGATCCGCCTCTTTCACGTGACTTTTTGCTCCCGTTTTTCTCTCCCCTTTTCCACCCTGTTCCTCCTTACATCCTTGATCTTTCTCTCTTCCCTTGCTACTTCATTTTAACCCCCCCCCCCCCCGTGCATTAAGCATCATTGACTCCACTCCCCTTCACCATGGTTTGTGCCATGCACGCACAGAGTACGACAATGCCAAGGAAGGTGGTGGAAAGTGTTTACAAAGCAGAAGGACGGGAACGTGAGGGCAACGGACGCGATTGCTTCGACGAGACGACGGAGAACAATAAATAAGACGGTGACCAAAACGAGACGGCCCCTTCACCTGCTGCCTAAGGAGGTACCGCTTCTGGACTGACGTGCCCTACTACTGGGGCTACGGTCTCTGGGTCCTCCGGCTAAGGGTGACCTAAGGGACGCTGTTCAGACCTTACCCAGCCAAGGTACAGGTCCCGACCACTGGCCCGCTCGGTCCTGGCCCTTACAAGAACGTCGGGCCCCGAGGGTTCTAGGGTCGCACCACTGGCCCAGTCAGACCCGGCCTTTACAAGGACGGCAGGTCAGGTGAGTCCCAGGGTCCTGGCTAGCTGGGCTTCAGTCTTCAACTGGCTCCCGAGCCGTCCAGAGGTCCGCCTTTTATACAGCTCTGGAGGCGTGCCCGCCCCCGGCCACGCCTCCCTTCCAGAGAGTTCCGAGAGGGGGTCCCGGGGGATCCCAGCGGCCCCTATGCCGGTCCGAGGTATTGCCCCTGGTGGATCTCGTTCGCAACTGCAGACAAATGAGGCCACATGCCATTTACAGCGCTGCACAAACGAGGAGGCACACGACCGGGGAGACGATGACGAATTAAAGAAGACAGCGCCCCAACACGCGACGTTCAGCTGAAACGCACACAAAGAAATCGACGGTACAAACGACACGGGACACGCAGGCAGGCACACACAAACACATGGTACGAAAGTGGAGAAGGATGGTTCAAAACAAACCACCCAGCAGCAGTAGCAACCACAACAACAAAGTTTCCCCCATTGGCATCGATTGCTGATTCTGAATCGTGCCATCATTGCAAGCGCGTTGTTGTGTGTCTGTGTGAAAGTTCACAATATTCACTGTGTAATATATTTAAAATATGTGATGGAGCATTACCACATGATACCATCAAAATGTGAACGACTCTATATAGTCTAATGCAAGGATGAGAACTTAAAAGATATGAATTGCTTCCAACATGTATTTATTCAAATGTTTAATTGAAATAGAACAATCAAACATAGAACAATTAAGTTAAATAAAAAAAGTTACAACAATAAAAAATAAAACAATTCCAATAAGAAAGTAATTTAACTTTTCAAATCGCAAAAAAATCGCAGCCTTTGAGATTTGCCAATCGCATTGTTTCAAATTGCGATTTCGATTTGAAATCGATGAATCGTTCAGCCCTATAATAAACCCGGCGACCCGAGTTCGACTCTCGCTCAGGGTCGACACCAGCGACGATTTATCTGAACCGGTCCTGGGCCGCCTTCCTCTAGATCGACTCGGCCTCAAATGAGTACTACCTGCTGGGATGTGTAGTGAACATCGCGACTAGGGAGACAAAGGCAGCCGTCCACAAATGACGTCACGCGATTTTTGACGATTTTTGACCCCCCCCCCCCTCCGTCACACGGCGTCACAAAATGTCAGACCCCCCCCCTCAAATATGACGTCACAAAGCTCTGCCCCCCCCCCCCTCCAAAAAAAATAAAAAAAAATGCTTCAAATCGCTTTAAACTATTGTCATTGTAGTGCGTATTTAATGTGGCGCTACACTCTGATGTTGTAGTAGAAAACATTTATTAAAAAGCCTATTTAATTAAGTAGAACGTGTTGTCTATATTTATTTAAAGTTGCGCATGTTGATGTGACGTCACATTTCTCACCCCCCCTCGTCACACATCGTCACAAATGTCTGACCCCACCCCTCCTCCCCTAGGTGCGGGACGTCATTTATGGACGGCTCCACATGTGCTCGATAACCGCACTTGCCCCTACAGTCTGTCAAGGCTATAACGGGAGAGGATATTTTGCCTTCGTGACAGATGGTGGCGTGGTGGTGTGATGGGTGGGTGCGTGTGTGGTGAGTTGGCTCGCTCGCGTGTTTTCATGCTCTCACTGGGTTCGGGCTGACGGGTGGTGTGGTGGCTTAGGGGGGTTGGGGGGGTGTAGGATGTGTTCACGTCATCTCTCTCCGACTCTCACTCACTCTCCAGCTCTCACTCTCTCACTGTCTCTCTCATTCACTCATTCTCACACTCACTCTCTCACTCACTTACTCACTCTCCGACTCTCACTCACTCACTCTCCGACTCTCACTCTCTCACTCACTCACTCTCTCTCACTCTCTCACTCACTCTCTCACTCACTCACTCTCTCACTCACTCTCTCACTCACTCACACTCTCACTCACTCACACTCACTCACTCTCTCACACTCACTCACTCTCACTCTCTCACTCTCCGACTCTCACTCACTCACTCTCCAGCTCTCACTCTCTCACTCACTCACACTCACTCTCTCACTCTCACTCACTCTCTCACTCACACTCACCCTCTCACTCTCACTCACTCACTCTCACTCACTCACTCTCATTCACTCTCACTCACTCACTCTCACTCTCACTCACTCTCTCTCACTCTCACTCACTCACTCACTCTCTCACTCACTCTCCAGCTCTCACTCTCTCACTCATTCACACTCACTCTCTCACTCACACTCACTCTCTCACTCTCACTCACTCACTCTCACTCACTCTCACTCACTCACTCTCTCACTCTCACTCACTCTCTCACTCTCCAGCTCTCATTCACTCACTCTGTCACACTCACTCTCACTCACTCTCACTCTCTCACTCACTCACTCTCTCACTCACTCTCTGGCTCCCACTCTCTCACTCGCCAGCTCCCCCCCTCCAACTCTCACTCATTCGTTCACTCTTTTCTCCAGCAGCAGCAACAACAGCAGCAACAGCAGCGTACACGGCAAGCCACCCGTCGTTAGCCCGTGCCGCGCGAGAGATAAGAAGGGCCATTTACGAGTGACACGCCGACGCAAGTTACGACGGAATGGTCCAAAAGTCTCGCGGCGCGATGTGGGAAGAGACCTCCTCTGGATCGAGCCCTTTAACTCGGCCGAGCGGACACGTGTTCGCACGTGCCGGCCGCATCATCATCCCCCCCACCCCACCCCCTAAATCGCACTCCTTGCGTATGAGAAGTTAAAATAGCCTCGGGTTGTCCTCCCCCTCCCCCTGTTCACTGTCGTTTCGAGTGCAGCAGCGAGACCACCGCGGTGTCAACGGGAGTGGTGGCCCCTTTTGAACGAGGGCGCTGCGTTTGCGCTTTAAAGATGATCGAGGCGATGGCACGCGCCGCAGTGCGAGCAGCAAGAATTCTGAGGCCGAGGCGAACTCATCACGTCAGGTCTGTCGCCTCTATTCACTCGATTCTATTTGTGTGTGTGTTTGTTTGGACAGCCTTCGTGTTTGCTCGGCGTCGCGAGCATTGCGATTTGAGATGTGCGGTGTCACTCGTGCCGGTTGACAAAGTTATTCAGAGAGCCTGCCTCCCTCCCTCCCCGCGCGCCCGCCTGTGTGTGTGTGGGTGTTTTGGTGGTTTGAATAACTCCTGCCTAATGCTGTGCTAAACACAGAGTAAGTGTGCTGTGATTATTTGCCGCGAGTTAATTCGTTTGGTTATGTTTACGCGTGTACATTGCATGTCTGTGTACATGGTATCTTCTTCTTGGTTCTTTCGGTAAAGTCACGTAGAAGGAAAGTAATAAAATAATAAAAATAAAACATAATAAAATAATTATATAATAATATAATAGTTATGTTTTATTTAAATTATTATTATTTTATTATTTTCCTTCTACGTGACTTTACCGAAAGAACCAAGAAGATGAATCCCTGCAGTCACGAAAGCTTTAAATCGAAATACATGGTATCTCTTGTTCACATTGCATCTCTGCCTACATGGCATCTCTATTTACATTAAATCTCTGTTCACATTGTAGCTCTGTGCTATATGCACTTATCTCAGAAATGTCGGCGATCTTGGCATTTCCTGCTGTTTCAGAGACAGAATCTTTATTCAGACTTGGAGGAATCCGTAGAGCTACGAAGCTCTTGTTCAGAGATGTCCAGTATTGGCGGGTCAGCAAGTTACAACGGCAAACATTACGAAGACAACAGCAACCAATACATGATAATACTCAATGACTTTGCATCAAATGCTCCCAGTTTCATCCAGTTCAAAATAGTTACGTAATTTAAGAGTATCTCTTGGCTTCCAGTTGTACCGATAATGTTGTCGGTAAAAAAAAACTAATTCAATCTCTTGTTTGCTCATTGCATGTCCGAGATAAATATAACGTTGCCTTTCTCAAATTAGTCTTATTTATTTTCTTCCAGTACTGCTACGATCCGAAATACATTGATGTCACTCATCTTATGTTTGTCCGTGGCATTTTTGAACATCCTTAAAATAACTAATTTCTGTTGATTTCAGTTTTCTTTTGTCGGGACTTTGTAATTGTACAGACCATAGAACAGATCACGTGTAACAAACACTGCAGCAGTATTCTCCTTCTCTTCATTAATGCCCAGGCTAAAACACTTTTATTTAGACACGCTGGTAATGTTGCTTTTCATTTCTACATTTTCCAAAAGCCGTTTAGCGTCATCATTTTAATCCCGATCTTCACTCACGTAACACTCCGCTTAGTTATGTCTCTGCAACAGATGTTGCTGGTTGTGTAGCGAATTGCAGCATGACTTTCGTTCTAATAGTTTACCGTGAAGCCCAACTTTGGAAGACTGCTTAGATTAGAGGACATGGGACATATATCACGTATAATGTAGAATACTTGTGCGTAAATATTACAGTACAGTGCACTGAGTGAGGGTGATACGGTGGTCACCAGAGTTCGATTCCCAGCAAAGATCAACAGTGGCGAAATCGATTTTAACCCCTCTTCCCCGTGACCCTCACAGCGTGAAGGGGATGCCTTCATCCAGCAGTGGATTGATAAGCAGCTGTAAATTATTACAGTACATGAGCTATACCTACAGCACGGGATTATACACTGCAATAAAAAAATGTAAACTACTACTAAGGCAAAGTGATTGAGGTGTGAACTATTATCCGGGCAAATTTCCGAACTTTGGACTGAGAAGGCAGTCAAGCATCCCTTGAGAGCCAATGGGACTTTCCCAGATAAATGACACATATTGTAATTCTTAACCATACTCGTTGTGCTGATAATTGTAAATGATTTAAAGCAAAGGACTGCATGCATACGTTGACATATGCATGCCAATCACAAACCTACCAACAATTCATGCATTCCAAATTTACTTTCGGTCTGTGAATGTATCGGGTATCCAAAGTACTGTACAGTACTACATCTGGCTTTTCACAAACAACAGTAGCACTGACATCTGCCTCTTATCTGCTGTTTACCAGATATGCACTGCTAACAGAACATTCCAGGACATTGCACTGTGAACGCATTTCAAAGTTCTCTTGAAAGCCCACACCGGGTTGAGCGTGGGTGACCAATGTGCACAAACAGATCATTACAGGGCCGTGGAGCTATGTGGTGGTGGATACATAGAGCTGTGTCTCGATATGCATTGTTGTGCTTTGTTTCTGTGCTCCCACATGTGTGCTCACCAGCTTCAAGCCTCACTGACCGGCATGATGACATGGTCAAACGACTCCCTCAACCCATGCGAAATGGGGAGGTCTTGGTCCAGCAGTGGATCGAAAGACGGCTATACATCTTCTTGGTTCTTTCGGTAAAGTCACGTAGAAGGGAAGTAATAAAATAATAAAAATAAAACATAATAAAATTATTATGTGACTTTACCGAAAGAACCAAGAAGATGAATCCCTGGAGTCACGAAAGCTTTAAAACGGCTATACATATTTAGCAAAACATCTTTGAAAAAATTGCCCGAGATAACCTGGGGATGTGGAATAGGAATTATTTACACAGTTGGGTAAGGGGCAGATATTTCCAATGTGCTTACAACAAATGGCGACCTTTTGCACCATGCTTTCAATGCTGAGATAACTGTGGATGAGACTCAGTGCCACTCAGTTTACTACCGATGAATAAAGCGCAGTCGTCCATTGATCATTAATTATGCGGGGCTGTGGATTAAATTGCACATTTTAAACAAATATAGTAGTGGTGTATTTGTTTGTGTACCCAATGGATTACAATTTAGTATCAAATTATTCACCTTAGCCACATCAATGCAGTCGTGAGGTATGTTATTTTTACATTTTGGCAATGATATTTAAATTTACCAGAACTACTTTTAACTTAGCAATATATAGATTAGGTATTTTATGGATTTTTTTGCTTTAAAGTGTAAATTTAATCTGTAATTTTCCCCCTTCATTAATGTAAAACCATATTTGCAATGTGCATGCTTATCAAGAATTTAGCAGTTATCTTTAAAACAACGCAATGTTTATCGTACGATAGAATTTAGTTGGTCTGACAAGAACATCCATCTTCTGACAGCTGTGCCTAATGTGTTTGGCAGGTGTGGGAATGTAAGGAGCCTGCACATTTCAAGAACTTGTTCAAGAAGCTGTCGGGATAATTTTTCCGACAAGGATAAAGTGACCGGCGATGGAATATGTATGAAGGCGGTCGCTGCGCAGAATGCGCAGCTCAACCTCCGATCGGAGGTATCGCCCGAGATGCGACGCTGGGCGTACGAGTGCTGCCGGGAATATCTCGCTGGGACGTGGAAACACATCAGCGAGGATGACTTCATCATCAGCGTTGTCACGTAATTGAAGCCTCACATACTCACCTTTTCTCATGAAATGTATTACAACTATGAAATAGCGCCACTGTTAGTAATTACATATTGCAACAAAGTTCTTATCATTCAGAAACAACAACAGCAACTCTTTCAATCTATATCGCATCTAAGTGCAATCGCAGCTCAATATAATTCTAGATTTGAAGCTTTCGTGACTGCAAGGATTCATACTCTTAGTTTTTTCGGTAAAGTCACGTAGGTTAAAAAATGAAATAAAAATTAATATAAATAAAAGAATAAAAATTAATAAAAATAAAAGAATAAAAATCTTATATTTCTTTTATTTTTATTAATTTTAATTTCATTTTTTACCTACGTGACTTTACCGAAAAAACTAAGAGTACAGCTCAATATAGTTTACTAAAATGGGAGAAACAAAAAATACATTCAGGTAGAAGTTGGTGTGATGGGAGATTGGGGGTCACGGCAGGGAAACGTGGAAGGTAGGTGAAAGAGGACAATCTCAGCACAGACGGAGATGAAGCATCAGGACTTAGCACCAACAATGTTCCCCAGGAACTGCTGGGGCAGCAAGGTCAGCACCAGTCAGTTTGAGGACATCCACAGGAGGCCCTGCACTAAATGAGTCCCAGGTCATCCGTGGGGGTCTAGGGCCCATTCACAAGCGAGTCCCAGGGCATATACTACGCACATTTCAGGTAAAAAAAAACAATCGTCAGTACTTATAGACTATTTCACTCAATGTTATGAACACACACCTATAGAATAGGTATTTTTTATTTATTGAATTTCATTTCTTGAATCTTTGAATAACCTTGAATGCAATATATATCTTGCACAAACTTGGCTTTCCTTGACTGTTAAGTTCTCACTTGAAACAAAATGGTGGAGCGGTGGTGGAATTATTCGTGCACTGTGTTCCAAACCCAGCAATTCCCAGCTACGGCTGACATGAGTGACGAGTGAAATCTGAACCGGTCCTAGTCCACCAGTCAGCACTGACCAGCATGGTGAAATATAGTTAAACAATCCCCAAGACCAGCTTAGCAGTGGATTGGCAAAGGGCTGTAAATTATGACTTTATTCTTCATGCAAAATTCCCTCATTATTCACGCACTCGCTATTTTGGCTATCCGTGAATTACATCTGGAACTCTAAATGGCTGCATTGAGATAGAGACAGATTAAGTAATGAGATAAAGTGATGAGAGAGAATTAAACAAAAAAAAAAATATATTTTACCAAATATGGCCCACTGAGCTCTATAGCTCTTTTTCAGATGTGACCTGACCACAAATAATAGCGCTACGAAATGGCTTATCATGTGGAAATTTATAGCAGCCAAATACTTTAAACAAATGTTTCTAAATGTGGAGGGAAAAACCAGAGGACCCGGAAAAAATGCATGCGACTAACTCCAAATATACAAGCATCGGGGTCATGATCGAACCCACGGCCTCCTGTACACCAGGCGAGGAGGTTAACATTTCATCAGCAAAGATAGCCACAAGATATGGCTGTGCCTGTAAAGTATTCAGTACCATCACTTGTGTTTTTAATTTTACATTTGTAGTGATGCACTCAGAGACACTAGGAGTAGGAGGCACTTTATTTATTAACAGCCTTCACTGTTCACAATAAGCAACTACAGCTCCCAGTCAGGACAGCTGGCAGACTGCCTGACTGACGACGCCAAGAAGGTGAAGATGTAGACGGAGACTACAGCAGCACGACGAGGGGATCCCGCTCCAGGCGACAGCCCTGAGCTCCCGCTCGGGGTCCCCTTTTATCCTCCCATCGTGGCCTCGCTCCGCCCCGGCCACGCCCCCCTTCTAGAACCTACTAGCGGGTTCCCGGGCTTACTTCACGTGCCCCCCTCTATCACCTTTTCCCTACATCCCTCTCTTTGGTTTATCACGTGACCTGCTGTCAGACAGGGCTGCTGCAACTGCAGATCCCCTTCTCTGCCAAAAACCCACGCTATGCTACGTAGTGACCCATTCCATGTCACTACACATTTGTGAATGCTCTTTTCTCTCACCCCATGTCGTCGCACAGTGGTGGATTGAGTAACCTGCTGTACACGTGCATACTGCGTTCTGATGTGCCAAGCATGGGAGGGGAGCCACGGCAAGTCCTCCTGCGCATGTACGGAGCCATTCTGCAGGTGGGGCCCTAACGTGTGGTCACGTGCTTACACACATATATACACGGTGGTACCGATTGCCAAGAGGTTGTACTCTATTCAATTAAAAGTTCACAAATACCACATGTACCTCGTGCTGTGAATGTGTGGGTGCAGGATCCTCGTTCGCTTGTGTTGGAGAGTGTAATGTTTGCCACGTTGGCCGAAAGGAAGCTGGGACCTGCACTGTACGGGGTCTTTCCAGAGGGCCGGCTGGAAGAGTTCATACCGGTACGAATGTCCACCCATGACAGCGGTCCAACAACTTGAATGAAAACAACCAAGGAAGCAACAACAGCGTTCCCATGGCATGTGTCTTCATCCATTTCCAGCACATGGAGTTTTCTGAATCCACGGGTTGTTGGTAATAGCTCTCCAATTCTTTCTGGCATTTATGTGTTGATGTTCCCATGTGATGACTTTAATATCGAGACGTTTTCCGACCAATGCTGTCCGCAAACTAAACGGTATTTTTTTTCTTTCATTAAAGAGTAAGCGACTCAGCTGCGTGGACCTGAGGGACCCCGACTTATCAGCACTGATTGCGTGCAAGATGGCACAGTTCCATTCTATGAAAGTGCCCCTCAACAAGGAGCCCAAGTGGCTGTATGAGAGCATAGAAAGGTAATCATTTGTGTTGCTGATTAAATTATTATCAATGGTAATGACTCATCGTTCTTGTTATGCTTATGAATGTTAATTCCTCATTATTTAGTCATGTCTTGCCAAAACATGTTCATTATTACTCTTTGGGTCTTTCGGTAAAGTCACGTAGAGAGAAGAAAAATTATTAAATTATAAAATAATAATGCTCATTATTGTCTTCCGAAAAATATGACCTGTATCTTTGACACCACTGTCGAATCGTCCTTTATCTTGGATGAACTCAACCATAAACACACCACAATTGCATAAAGTGCATCCAACTCACCAAACTTGCTATGTAAAGCATAGGGGCATGTCACGATACAATAATTAATCGATTGACATTACTTTTTAAACTCACGAGACCAGAATCAAGATGTGCGTGTGAAATAAATAGACGGCTTATATGCGAATTGTAGATGCTCATGTCCCACTCTTACCACCGTGGGGCGCCATTGGGACGCGGTGTTAACTACCTCGCCTGGTATATAGGAAGTCGTGGGTTCGACACCGACTCTGATACCTGTAGATTTGAAGCTTTCGTGACTGCAAGGATTCATATTCTTAGGTTTTTTTCGGTAAAGTCACGTAGGTAAAAAAATTAAATTAATAAAAGTAAAATAAAAATAAAACATCATCCGCACCTAGTTTACACAACAAAGGCTCATTCCTAGCAGCGTGCTTCAGCCGCACCGAACCTCACAAAAATTATATTCAGGGCCTACCTTGGCTCCTCCCACCCTCAACCAGTATATATACAAATACGGGTTTCTTGGAATTTCTCTCACTTGATACAGCTATCGTGCTGTGACTGTTCCACCTGAAGACGGAAGCTTGTGTTGCCTCCGAAACGTCGTGATTTTTATTTTATTTTTATTTTGCTTTCATTAATTTAATTTTTTTTACCTACGTGACTTTACCGAAAAAACCTAAGAATATGAATCTGATACCTGTGTTGAGGTGTGAAACACGACACGAAGGCAGACGTCGTCGGGGCTGACGCCAAACGGTTTATTAAGGGATTTCGCCTAGCCTTTGGGAAGGGCTAACACAAGTCACTGGCTAAGCTCAATCTCCCCAGGGGAAAGGGTACTGGGAAATCCAGACGCCTTCCAGGCTAACGGGCTCTTCCCACAGCGCTGACCGACGGTTCATACAACTCGGCCAGCTGGGTAAAGTAGCCCCCCCTAGCCTCGGGCTATTTCTCCCTTACCCTGGGCCCCCACTTCCCCACCATTCACGTTCCCGGTTCCCTGGCGAAGACCTCGCCTATGTCACCGGTCCCCTCTCAAATACCCCGAGGGGACATGGCGGCACTCCTCCCGAGGCGAGTGTGACATCCCGTCATCACTCTGCTCCTCAACATCTGTATATTTGGAGTTTGCATGTTCTTCTCCTCCGGTTTTTCCCTCCACATTTAGAAACATGCATTTCGAGTATTTGGCTGCTATACATTTCCACATGATAGGCGACTTCATTGTGCTATCATTTGTGGCCGGGTCACTTATGAAAAAGAGCTATATAGCTCTGTGAGCCTTACCTGGTTAAAATAGCTTAGCAAAATAGTTTATGATGCGAATAAAACTGCACAAAAATCATGGGGGGGGGGGGGGGGGGACAAGACAAACATATCATGTTCTCAAGTCGAATCGTGACCCCCAAATACAGCAAATGACAATTCATCAGATCACTGGGAATGTTTAACAACTACACGGCCCTTAAGCTTTCAGTATGAGCTTTATCTGCAAAAAACACACTATATACATAATTGTAGGATTAATCACAGCATGGAAGGCCCACCATGGGTGTTGGTTAAAGTCTGCTATCACAAATCGTAATTGGTCAACGGTTGGGTTACTTTTAGTTTTTTGTCTTTGCAGGTACCTCAAGCAGGTTATGCAACTGGATTTCTCGGAGAGCTCCAAAAGGATGAAATATGACGACCTACTTGCCTGTGACTTGCCAAATGAGCTACAAAGATTAAGGTAGAAGTGCAAGCAAGCATACGGGACAATCGTGCAGAGTAATTTTCTCGTTCGATTGCTCTGTTACATGATTTCAATCATGCAAAACATCTATTTATGTTGCAGACAATGGGGGTACATGATAATTGTTTTTTTACCCTTCTATCTGGCAACAAAACTGATACCTTTTTTACAAGGAGTCATGTTTGCATAGACCACAATACCTGCAGTCGGAATGCAAACAAAAAACATAACTCTGATAATATTTGCACTGTCCTTGAAGTTGATTGGTCCACACCCGAGACAGCTTTCCTTAGAGCCTAGTCTCACATGGTGTTGGACCAGAAGGAAAGCTGTCTCTGGTGTGGACCAATCAACTTCAAGGACAGTGCATACATTATGTTTTTTGTTTGCATTCCGACTGCAGGTATTGTGGTCAATGCAAACATGATTCCTTGTAAAAAAGGTGTCAGTTTTGTTGCCAGATAAAACGGTAAAAAAAACAATTATATTTTTCTACTGGCAAATGAGGTTCCAATAATGGGCTTACATTTTCCTTTGTCATTTTGTGTTTTCAGAGATATTCTCAACGCTACACCATCCCCAGTTGTGTTTTGCCACAACGACTGTCAGGAAGGTAAGTCGTTGTTTCTATAATGCAGATGTCTTGGACAAATGAAAAATTCGAAATCATTGGATGGGGAAGTACATCTGCTTTGCAAATGACCTGAGCAGAGCTCTTCCTTAATTTTCAGGAAATATTCTGCTCCTGGACGAAAGCTCTGAGAAAAGCAAGAAGCTTATGATCATCGACTTTGAATACTGCAGCTATAACTACAGGTTTGATTGCATTTCACAGAGTATGTGTGTGTGTTCTGCAAATGTTTGATGTCTCGGAGAACTTCATTACCAGCTTGACTCCCAGCTAAAACCGATGTGCTGGCAAAGGGCACTTCTGTAGCTTGCCAGAGAACCTTGATTTAGCTTTGTGTGCCAGAGGTTCGTGGTAAGCCCACTTGCTTTTCTTCTATGCATAAAGTTCCATTACATAGGATTCTCTTATGGGATTTTATTTCTCCATATGCTCTTTTATTTCGTCTCCTGACATGTAGAATTAGCAGCATTTACAAGGGTAAATAATGTTATGAATGTATGCATCTATTCTCCAGTCACATCCACTATCCTCATGTCATTCCACCACATCCTTGCATCGCACCCTCCTAGGCCCCTTCTGGCCTCCACTTATCGCAACAACCGTTCTTCTGAACGAGTTTCCCAAACCAAATCATTACAGTAAGCCCACCGCTGGAATAAATTATAGTGGAATTGCAGTTGTGTCAAGCAATAGGTAATCAATTGAATTTGTTCAGTGACCGCTCAATAGGTTTCCCCATGTCCCAGCGGAATACGACTGATGAATGCAAATTGCATGCATGGCCAGCTGCCTTGCGTGGCAGGTTTAGAGCAGGAGGTGACATATGGGTGTGGGGTGGACTGTCTGCAGAGGGGGGGGGGGATGCTTTGTAATCAATACTGACGCCTGCATGTCTCTCTCTTCAGACCTTTAGAGGACATGCACGTGGAGGGGATTATCTGTGGGAATGCGGTTGGTTAACCTTTATTGTGTGTGTGTCGTTCACAGGGGATTCGACATTGGGAACCACTTCTGTGAGTGGATATATGACTACGCCTGTGACACTTGGCCCTATTTCCATTCAGATGCGAAGCGGTACCCAACTCTTGATCAGCAGGTGCTCTGATGAACCGTTTCATTTTGTCAATTTGCTATTCTTTAAGTATGCCGTTCACTCTGCGTCTTGGGCATGGTGCCGAATTAGCACTCTATTGCATCAGATTGTAGTGTTTGACAATGATTAATTATTAATGTAATTGGCCCAACCTTCCACTGTTATACCCTCTCGCAATTTATTCTTGGGGCTCAGTAGATTTTTCCTGAAGAAAATAAAATGCTTTCGCATTACAACAGAGCAGAAATTGTTTAACAATGTGATCAAAGATATGCAAATAATGATTTTCTGTCTCACAATTTGATGAATTCTCATGATTCAGGAATGTAATTCTGGAGGTTATTTACATCGTTGTGGGTAATGCGTCGCGCCTGGGGTGGCTGCTGGTGTCGTAGATACAAATTGCGTACATGTACAAAATGAAAAAAAATAATTAAACACGTGCATAGATGTGCATGCCGTGAGCCTAAGAATATATGATACTTGAAGAAGCGATGTCTCGACAGGCCTGTAATTTTGTTTTCACCTCTCGCAGACTCATTTCCTAAGGAACTACATCATGGAGAACCAGGGGAGAGAACACAACATTTCTGCAGCGCAATCTGACAAGCATGTAGCACAGATGCTGTTTGAAGTGAATCGGTGAGAGTACACGTGAACATTACAGCCAGCAGAGTCGGTGCTGATTTACCTGGTTTTCATTTCACCTTTTTAATCGAATACGTGTAATTTGTTTCAAATTATTGGTAGTCGGAAACTATTAGGATGGATAAAAATGCATGCATCCTTCCAAAAGATGTACGCTGCTCATGAACCTGATGTAATTTATATACGTGAACACATGTTGATTTGATAAGCTACACTTGGCAGCGTCCATCCTACCTCGGTTATAATCAGGATGCTACTGCAACAAAAAATGATGTGTAGATCGTTAACACATGTCACAAAAGAGAAAACTCTTCCCTGTTGAAAATGAATGACTCAACTTGGTGAAGTATAGGCAAATAACCCCACGTGGTGTGGGGAGGCTCCCCTTTCAGCAGTGGATTAATAAAAGGGCTGTACATGAACGTACCGATACTTGTTTGATTGCTCAAGCTGAGTTATTTTTTTATTCTAAGTCAGTGATCCTTTTATTGGAATGAGCAAAGTGATTAATCTGCTGTGCTGTTGTAGTGATCAAAGTTGCATGAATTAGTCGTTAAATGCAGTGTTGCCCAGAGGATGGGTGGGGGAACAGGTGGGGGGGGGGTTAGGGTTAGAGGGGGCATGGTATGGGCAGGGAGGGACAAAATGAGCAATTAGCTCTGGGATTCACAAAAAGGAAGAGCCCATGATGGACCGAAAATTTTCTCACTTTTAAAGGGGCTCCACATGACATTCCGCCCCGGGGTTCCAGCCCCTCTGGGGTGACCCTGGTTACATTTGCAAACACTTTTTTTCTCTCTCTCCTGAACTCTTCACTGCTTACCCTACATTGCTGGGGTCACAAAAAAGATCTCCAAAATCCTGATTAAACACAAGATCCAGGTCCGATTCAACACAGTACATAAAATCCGTGATCTGGTCCCGTCTGTAAAAGATGTGGTTCCAGACATACAGTACCCTGGCGTCTACAAACTAAGTTGCCTCTGTGGTAGCAGTTACATTGGAGAAACCAAACGACATGTCTCGGACCGCATCCGTGAACATAAGGCAGACCTGAAACACGGTAGGACAAACACCTCAGCCGTGGCAGATCACTGTTACAATTCAGTGGGCTCACATGACATTGACTTCTCCAAGACAGAGGTTCTCTGCAAGCCATCTGGCTATCATGAGAGATTCGTTCATGAGGCGATCCACATATACAAACACAGAGACAATTTTAACCGAGAAGATGGATTCTGGCTTAGCAATCATTGGAAGGACGTAATAAACCATTTCGACACACATTAGGGTGGGTAGAATAATACATAGTGTTATATTAAATGTATAAGATATAGGTTGGTTTACAGCAATACAGTATATAATTTAATGTTGGCAGTATATAGTACGGTATATGCTCGTTGATGCAATAGAATAAAGTTTAGATGGAAGCATATTATATAATTTTTACGACGTAGAATTGTAATGTATTACTTGCTGTTAGTAACTCAGCTTAGTGTAGAGTATAGTAAGTATACTGACGGTGCTATGCTATTTATACTTTAGTTTTTTATGTAGTTTATGCTTTAGTTTTCTACGTGGTGGTTGAGTAACTGCAGCTACATATCATTAACATTCCTTTCCTTTCTTACTGCTAATCCCTGCACCCCCCCCTTGGTGCTGTTGATCCTGCATAATGCATGGGCATAATATGACTTTGAAACCCCCCCGCCCACCTCCTACGCATTTTCCATGAATATGCTAAATTCCTCTTCACATGCACATTCTTTTGTTAAGGCGCTCTTTCCTCCACCTCCAACGCAGCTTATATATAAGCTCCTAGCTTGGCATTGTCTCATTCTTCACCTGAAGACGGCTGCTTGCGTTGTAGCCGAAACGTCGTGAGAATTGTTTTATTATGTTTTATTTTTATTATTTTATTACTTCCCTTCTACGTGACTTTACCGAAAGAACCAAGAAGATGAATCCCTGCAGTCACGAAAGCTTTAAATCGAAAAATTCTTCACTGCTTCTTCTGCGCCTGTGCACCGCTTGCAGGTTCGCTCTGGCATCACATTTCTACTGGGGCCTCTGGGCAATCCTTCAGGCCAAGATGTCGTCCATCTCCTTTGGTTACTTGGTAAGGGCAGCAATTCTGTGTGGCACTTTGCAACCGCACTGTTGGCAATTAGCACCTTTTATTTCTTTATTTTGGAAGTGCACTGACGTTCTTGTTCAAAAAAACAGCTTGATGGTAGAAATATTATTGTTTACAGGAGTATGCCCAAGATCGATTCAAGATGTACTTCGCACAGAAGCGGAACATGGAAGGCTAGTGTGTTTTATGAAGAAACGGCACTGTGTTATAAATGTATACTTGTAATGGGCATTATGTCAGTGTAAATAAATGTTAAATGGACATTTCTTTTTTTTAGTTTTCCCTTATCGCAATCATAGCCCGAATCCAACATTTTACTTGCCCTAGAAAAATGCTTGCCAGTTCACTGCTGGATGAAGGCCTCCCCAAGTTGTGTAGATGGGGGGGGGGGGAGGGAGGGGTGCAGTAGTTTATGCACTGCAATATGAACCTCACCACCTGAGTTACATTTATGGAAATGGTTAAAGGCTAATATCAATGTTGAGCAATATCTGAACAAATCTGCAACCTGCAATGACCAGCATGGTGCAGTATGGTCAACAACCTGCATGATTGACATGGTGTGGGGAGGCTTGCATCCAGGAGTGGATTTACAAGAGATAGTGCATTATAAATGAAAGACGAATAGTCATTTTTATTTCGGTCTATCGTACAATATTGTATACCAATGATCAAGCTGCAATTACATGTTAAAATATCTATATATCTATAGTGTATTCCTATTAATAGCTTTTATAGAAAGGTTAAAAAACAATGTGTTTTTTATGTTTGGCATGTCCAAAATGCTACTAATTACAGTTCGTAGATCAGACCAGTCCTTTGGAATATGTATTATTTGGAATTTGGGAAGCTGTACAGTTATTTGCACACTAAATGTGTTGGTGAGTAACACCATTCTTGCACGTGTTGTTTAAGAATGGCTGACATATACTCAACCGTACTTGTTGCTTGAACACAATGAAAGAGCATTTACAGCTCTCGTTCTCTGATGTGTTTTCGGTCAGTACCGCGAGTTGTTCGGCAAAATGTACGACGTTCCACTCTTTGTGCTGCCAGCATCTTCGGGAAGTGAAATGGAGGGCATCGTGGCGAACAAACACACAGTATAAACCCTAAAGCACATCAGATAACTATGTAGCACAACCACGGACACATGCAGTCTCATTTACATTTGTTTCAACAAACTATTCACAGTGGAGAGGCTTTATCCAGTAGTGCATTAACAAAAGCATCTATTTTATAAAGAAATTACGTAGAGTGATCATAATCCTTTTATAACCTGAATCTCTCTTTAAAAGGTTGTATATACTGTAAATGATAAAGGTGCTCTTACATGTAAAGAATTATTCCAAAGAGTGTATTTTATATAACAAGAACGTAAAAAATATCCTTTATGGGTGTCATGGCCAAAATGTCTATTATTGCTCATAGATAAGAAAGAGCAGCCCTATGGGATCTGTTATTTACAATCTGAAAACTGTACAGCCAATTATGTTGGTTAGTTATGCTCAATTTTGCACGTCTTGTTTAACAATAGATACTATCTGCTCAATGATAGCTGCTGCTTCGATCACAAATAATCTCAACTATTTTACATTTGCTTAACACACTGACTTAAAATAACCATCAACATTTACCCTACAATACAACGTTGTATATCTGACTTGCTGGAGACTGTGGAAAGGTAAAATACTATAATGCGAACATTAAACAAAATCTACGTTGCACGTTGCACATATGAACGTATTGGCGGTACAGGGGTGAGCGGTATATAAAAAGCAATTTTTTACAAGAATTATCTTTTTTTCGGCGATTCGAAACCCTGGTCAAAAAATCTTGCGTAGTGGTGTGTCAAAATCAGTTATCGCGATGTCGAAGCAATCGAAAGACGAAAGTCGGTTCAGATTTTGAATTTAGACTGCTGTATGATGCATTGGTGTACCGCCAATACGTCCACAGACTGCCCTAGCAGTTAATTGGTCATAAGGTGGATATGCGACATCCCGACTATCATCAATTTCCTTAAACATTACTTTCATCTTTACAGTGCATTCTCATATGTTTGTTTTAGAATTCATAAAATCCATGAGTATTATTGTGTCCGATTTACATGTACTGTACATATATTCTCTAATTAAATTCAGTAATCGTATTAAATACGTTCTACATTGGTTTAATGATATCAATTAAGCCCTGTCCACACAAACCTTTTACTGTTCATTAAAATCTGGGCAAGTCAAAATGTTTGCTTCAATAATGTATGATTTCATAATTTAGCCTGAGCAATAACACACAGAAGGCTGTCCGAGGTGATTAAACATTTTACAAACGGTACGTATGTTCATAAAAAACTTAGTGATTGTTTTCCTACATCTATTTTTAGATACTCAACGTGGCTTATATATTAGCCAAATGCGGTTTTGCGAAAGGGCACGTGCTCAATGTGTGTGTAATACCCCTCGGTTTTCCTCTCCCAAGCCAAACTCTCATTTTGGGAATTGGCCATATCATTTAAAGGCAGGAACACCTCTTGTAATCAAGTCTTGAGACTCAATGGCATTATTATTTAGACAATTTGTGGCTGGGAAATGTGTTAGGAGAACCTCATATATAAATGAGACATTATTTTGGGATGCTGCGTTGGCAGTGGCCCACAAGCACAATTGCAGTAGGGCCGTTGCCCGAAACGTCATCTATCTTTCTTTTAAAGCAGTAATATTGATGAATGTGTTGAGTTAATGTGGGGTTAAATCTACAGCCCTTTTGTAAACCCAACTGCTGGATGAAGGCCCCTCCCTATGCTGCCGTGGTCACGGGGATTGTTTCACCACACTTTCTCTTTCATTAGTGTGGGTTGCAAGACGCGGACAACTAATACGTGGGAGCATAGTAACAGTACACAGTGAAAATAACTCTGCACTGCCCCCCATTTTTCACAGCGTAGCCCTGAGCAACCTACAACACCACCATCCACCATCGTCGTGCATGGTGATCAACCCGGCATAGCTTCCGAGATCTAATTGGTGCGGGCACATTCGTTCTTTGGCCATACGTACTGTGAACGGATGCTTTTAATCGGAGGAAAAGCAATCACTAACTTGACTGAACGTCAAGAGAGAATGCAGATGGATTGTGAGTGATGTAGATATCATTGGCAAAGGATCATCATGGGCATTCTTCATGGAGCAGACTTGATCCAGCAGTGGGCTGATCCGCCCCTACTGGACATCCATGGTAAAGAGCTTTGTTGCTCATCGGATTCCTCCTCCAGTATAAATATCGGATGACTGAAAATGGTTTCGTTTGGCAGGTGTACGGCGCATATTTTTGTAAACCAATTGGCTTAAAAGGTGGATTTTTGGAAAAAAATAATTACAGACATGAACCTAGAATAAAAACTCACCACCCTCTCTACATTATTACTGCCTTGTAACAAATTATACATAATAGCCTGATGATCATACTCTTTGGTTCTTTCGGTAAAGTCACGTAGTTAGATATTAAATTAAAAAAATCCTGCAGTCACGAAAGCTTTAAATGAAGCCTGATGATCCTTATACCAGAAAGGGCAGATAGACGATCGCACTGTGTTTTTAATTTGTTTTTTAGGCAGTATTAATGGTGTATGCACAGTATATACTTTATTAAAATCTAGCCAAAACCAAATATTTTAAACGTGCATGCTAAATATTTGCATTTCAAATAGACGCACACGCATTGTTTCACAACAGTACAGTGTTGTTTATGGTGTGCACAGCCATCCGAGGCTGAACATTCCGTAAACTGTCAACTTTGTTGAATATGAATTTCGGCCAAAGCACGGCCAATGTTTGTTGTTGTTTTATTTCTAACGGAGTGATTGTTTTTGCTTCGTAGAAGGGCGCCACCAGGTGGATATGCAAGGTGGTGGGAGGTGAAAGCCAAAAACGCGGCGTTGTGAATCGCTGGCTTTTTGTTGTTGAAAGTCTTGAAGAAAAAAAGGGCGGTTGTTGTTGGTGGGGTGGGTGGTAGTTGTTGGTGGGGTGGGTGGTAGTTGTTGGTGGTGGGTGGTGGTTGTTGGTGGTGGTTGCTTGGTGGTTGGTGGTGGTTGGTTGTTGGTGGTGGTGGGTGGTTGGTGGTTGGTGGTGGTTGGTTGGTGGGTGGTGGTGGGTGGTTGGTGGTGGTTGGTTGGTGGTTGGTGGTGGTTGGTTGTTGGTGGTGGTTGGTGGTTGGTGGGGGTGGTCGTTGGTGGGTGGTTGGTGGTGGTGGTTGTTGGTGGTGGTGGTTGTTGGTGGTGGTGGATGTGTGGTTGGTGGTTGGTGGTGGTTGGTTGTTGGTGGTGGTGGGTGGTTGGTGGTTGGTGGTGGTTGGTTGTTGGTGGTGGTTGGTGGTTGGTGGTGGTGGTTGGTGGTGGTGGTGGTTGTTGGTGGTGGTGGATGTGTGGTTGGTGGTTGGTGGTGGTTGGTTGTTGGTGGTGGTGGGTGGTTGGTGGTGGGTGGTGGTTGGTGGTGGTGGTTGGTGGGGGTGGTCGTTGGTGGGTGGTTGGTGGTGGTTGTGGTTGGTGGTGGTTGTTGGTTGGTGGTGGTTGTTGGTTGGTGGTGGTGGGTGGTTGGTGGTTGGTGGGGTGGTGGTGGGTGGTGTGGTTGGTGGTGGTTGTGGTTGGTGGTGGGTGGTGGTTGGTTGTTGTTGGTTGGTGGTGGTTGTGGTTGGTGGTGGTTGGTTGTTGTTGGTTGGTGGTGGTTGTTGGTTGGTGGTGGTTGGTGGTTGGTGGTGGGTGGTTGGTGGTTGGTGGTGGTGGTTGGTGGGGGTGGTTGGTGGTGGTGGTTGGTGGTTGGTGGTGGTTGTTGGTTGGTGGTGGTTGTGGTTGGTGGTGGTTGGTTGTTGTTGGTTGGTGGTGGTTGTGGTTGGTGGTGGTTGTGGTTGGTGGTGGTTGTTGTTGGTGGGTGGTGGTGGATGTGTGGTGGTGGTTGGTGGGTGGTGGTTGGTGGTTGGTGGTGGTGGTTGTTGGTGGTGGTGGATGTGTGGTTGGTTGTTGGTGGTGGTGGGTGGTTGGTGGTGGGTGGTGGTTGGTGGTGGTGGTTGGTGGGGGTGGTCGTTGGTGGGTGGTTGGTGGTGGTTGTGGTTGGTGGTGGTTGTTGGTTGGTGGTGGTTGTTGGTTGGTGGTGGTGGTGGGTGGTTGGTGGTTGGTGGTGGTGGTTGGTGGGGGTGGTTGGTGGTGGTTGTGGTTGGTGGTGGTTGTGGTTGGTGGTGGGTGGTGGTTGGTTGTTGTTGGTTGGTGGTGGTTGTGGTTGGTGGTGGTGGGTGGTTGGTGGTGGTGGTTGGTGGGGGTGGTTGTGGTTGGTGGTGGGTGGTGGTTGGTTGTTGGTTGGTGGTGGTTGTGGTTGGTGGTGGTTGGTGGTTGGTTGGTGGTGGTTGTTGGTTGGTGGTGGTTGGTGGTTGTTGGTGGTTGGTTGGTGGTGGTTGTTGTTTGGTGGTGGGTGGTGGTGGTTGTTGTTGGTTGGTGGTGGTTGTTGTTGGTTGGTGGGTGGTGGTGGATGTGTGGTGGTGGTTGGTGGGTGGTGCTTGGTGTGGGTGGTGGTGGTGGTTGTGTGGTGGGTGTGTGATGGTGGGGTGGGTGGAGAGATGGTGGTGGGTGGAGAGATGGTGGTGGCGGGGCGGGGTGGCTGCTGGTGGTGGTGGGGCGGGTTGGGAGAGAAGGGACGGCGGAAGCAAGAGGAACACACACACAGAGCCCGCCCGCCAGCCAGACTCGTGTTGTTCAATAGCAGCGGCGAGAAGAGGGCATTTCGCACGCAGTGTTAACTCGCCGCGCATAGGCGCGCCACGTTCACAGTGGGCGCACACAAGGGTAGCCCTGTTGGAGCACACTGCAGCAGTGATCACACCACACACACACACAGCCACACACACACACAAAGCAACGACAACAACAACAGCAGCAAGCGACAACACAGCGCACACAAACAGCACGCAGTTGGAACATTGCTGCGACATCGCATCCGTAGAGGCGGGCAGCAGCAGCAACAACAGGGAGGCTCAACATTCTACACCACCACCATCATCATCACCAAACCAACCAACCATCACCAAAGCAGCAGCTATTATTCCAGCAGACAGACGTGTTGGCTTCCCAGCAAACCTCCTCCTCCTCTCTCCGTCTTCATCCGTCGTGCATTTTGAATATTTTACGGGCGGTGCCATTTGCGGCGCATTTCGCGGCGTTTCCGCCGCTGTCCACGCGGTTTGTTGTGTTGGGGGCCTGGGCCACTTCGCTACCGCGGTGGTCGTGAGAGTTTTAGATAAAGAACGACGAGAAGGGAGATTGTTTTACATCGGGTAGGTGGGGTGGGTGGGGTAGGGGTGGAGGTGGCTGCAGACAAAGAGATTAGGACCGAGAAGGAGATTATCGCGGGCGAGGGGGAGAGAATTTGCAGCAGGAGACCGCAGAGAGAGGAGGGCCTGAGTTGGATACCGGCGAAGGCGATCAACCACCACCAACAACAACACACCAACACCACCACCAACAACAACACAACACCACCACCAACAACACACCACCACCAACAACACACCACCACCAACAACACACCACCACCAACAAAACCACCAACACCACCACCAACACCACCACAAACACCAACACCACCACCACCAACAACACCATCACCCCACCAACACCACCAACAACACCACCAACAACACACCACCACCACAAACACCACCAACACAGCTGGACTCAAGGAGGCATGGCGATGGCATCGTTTGCCACGGCGAGGGGACAGGTACGTGCCATGCTGCTGATGATGCTGCTGCTGTTGTTGATGTGTCGATATCTCATGAGCATTGGTCGTTTGAAGTCGTGATGTGTCAACCGCTGTTATTATTGATACGTGAGCACCCACAGAACTAACGTGGGATGGGGTGGGCCCTCTGCTAATTCTGTAATGCAATTGCTGTTCTTTTAGTAACGACAGCAAATGTTGAGCCAGTGGTGTGCATGTGTTTGTATGGTGGCGGTGGCCGGAAATTCGCATGCCGATGATAATTGGTTTTTTACCCTTCTATCTGGCAACAAAACTGACACCTTTTTACAAGGAGTCATGTTTGCATAGACCACAATACCTGCAGTCATAATGCAAACAACAAACATAACTCTGATAATTTTTTGTTTTTTTTGTTTGCATTATGACTGCAGGTATTGTGGTCTATGCAAACATGACTCCTTGTAAAAGGTGTCAGTTTTGTTGCCAGATAGAAGGGTAAAAAAACAATTATCATATTTTTACTGGAAAATGAGGTTCCCATAGTGTCGCATGCCGATGTTTAATTGCCAGCCGTGGTCGATCTTGCTGTTGGATGAGTCCTCATCCGCTGACTGTCAAGAGGACCACCTCCACCTTGCACCTTGACACGAGAGCGTCCTTCATCCCCTCCTCGGGATGTTAAAGCCCCAATGTGCAGTGCCACTTAAAATGTATAACAATGGTTTAATTCGCGTTTGCGTCTTTTAATTGTGTAAAGCAAAAAAAAACCCACCCCAGTGAAAGCTACTTGCCCCACAGTATTATTATATTGTGACCGTGCAGCGTGGTTATAATGTGAATAATATAGCTCATGGGAGGCAGAGATAACAGCCAACATTTTGGGTTAATCATGATTGTGGCCGTGTAAATGTGTGCGGGTATGTGTATCTTATATTTTAAAGGGCTTCCATCCCATTATCGTCCGTATTTTTAGAATTTGTTTTATATCTTTACAGACGCCGTGTACATTGGCTCCCCAATGTCTATGTCCTCATCCAGCAGTGGATTGATTGCCAGAACGGGGCTGCGTATTTACAGCATACTGATGTAACGTTGTAAAACTCTAACATTAATCACGCAGTTAATGTAAGCGATGACAGATTAAACCATTTATTTTGCGCCCAAAAGTCTGCCAATACTTAATGACAAGGAGCTCGTCTCCTGCATCGGGATGATTTGGTAAATTCCCTTAATAGAGTTGTTGTGATGAGCAGTTGATTTGGAAGTAAGAATGTGTGTCGTACACCCTCCTCCACCCGACAAAGCCAATTAGTAACACGTGCTAGATGAATTAACTGCAGCAGCAGCAGCAGCAGCACACAAGTTCTGTATATTGAAACAATAATAGGCTTTACCCTTTCTGGAAATAAATCAGGTGTTAAGATTTTTAATTGGTTTATATTTGTGTTATTTCATTATTTCCCTTCTACTTGACTTTACCGAAAGAACCAAGACTATAAATAGGTTTTAAGATGTTCAAACACCAAATAGAAACCTTTTGCAAGCAATCAAGTCTGCAATAACCGCACGCACTTGTGGTGGACATGCAAGCAAAACATGCCCTGATAATGAATACTGTATATGGCATTGTCTTGGAAATTGACGAGCCTACAGCAGAGACAGCAGTTTTCATCATGACCTACTCTCAAAAGGCGAACAGTTGCAAAAACCAAATTTACTATCACAGCAATTACAGCTTTGGGTGAGCAGCTACAAAATGGGACATTTGTTGTTGTTACTGCTAAAAATGCCCCATACTGTTAGTCCGTACGTTGTGGATTTTTCTGACCAAATACTGTATGTCGAGTGGGAGAAGGCTGTATGACACCCACGTTTTTTTATGACGTGATCTGACCCAAACATCAGTGTGGAATCATACTCGCCCACGTTGTTAGATTTACAGTTTGGCTTGGGAGAGGAAACAAGTCCACATACCAGGAAGATAACACACTCAGCTCTGCAGTTAGAAAACGCATTGTGTTCGCGTTAACAGTGCTCTCCACAGGACCACATTTACCTTTATGATGTCGTAATACGTACGTTGCATGTACTTATATGAAACGGTTGTTTGTGTGGGTGGGTGTATATACGTAAATGTGTTTGGAAACTGACGAAAATTATAACCTACTTGAATATTTGTGTGGCCTAGTGGTGGGATGTTGGCACTACACAGGGGGCATTGATAGAAAATACTGATTCGGCCGTGGAGAAGTATGCAATATATTTATAGTTTACCAGGTAAATCCCCGCTGAAACTATGAGCTAATTTTCAGAGGTGATCTGGCCGCACATGATGGCTCGTCTTTGTGGTTTATCACTTGCGCGAATGTATAGTAGCCAAATAATTTCAATGAATGTGGCTAAATGCGGAGGGCAAAACCACGGGGGACACGGTGACAAAACGCCCTCGACTATCACGGGGGAGAAAAAGGGAACACGCACAATACAAATATACAACAGCCATCGTCAGGGTCTGGGATCGAACTCATGCCCTAATGCGTGCCAGGTGAGGGCGATGACATCTCCCGGCCACCGCGGTGCCCCGATGGTGAAAAAAAAAACCACGACCCACACGGCCGTGGGGAGGCCCTCATCCAGAAGTGGATTGATACCAGAGGTCGCAAACGGGTTTTGATTGCTTACCCGTACCCGGCCGCATCAGGGTCGCAAACGGGTACCCGTACCCGGCCGGGTACGGGCATCGGGTACCTGATTGCGACCTCTGGGATGAAGCCATGTTGCAGGCGTGGGTGGGTTCATTCTAGGAACTTGAATTGTGAGAAGAGACAAGACGTTGGGAAATGAGTGACAAACGGTTATTCACCAGTGACTCACGGTCTACCCGTACCCGGCCGCACCAGGGTCGCAAACGGGTACCCGTACCCAGCCGGGTACGGGTAGTCGGGTATCGGGTAGGGTACGGGTATCGGGTACCCGGTTGCGCCCTCTGATTGATACAACGAATGCCAAGTATTATATGCACACCCAAAAATATCCTCTTGTACTATTGGATTATACGGACTACTGAACTGTGGTTGTGATTTTGAGACCACTTGGCCTCGTCGTACAAATGTGGAATTTTCACCTGTGGCGGCTCATGGCTGGAAAGAGGGTGGGCCCATTCCTTGATTGAATACTGTGCTCCAGTAATATGTCAATCCACTTCCGAATGAGGGCCTTCCCATGCCGTTTGGGGTCGTGGGGTGTCATTCAAGCCATACTTCACCATGCTGGGCGGTGCAGGTTTGTGATGGCGGGAGAAGGATCGACGTAGGATCATAGAAGAATCACTGTGCTGTACTTGAACAGATTTTGTTGCACTGTCCTCGGCTGCCCACCACGCAACCCCACAGCCTGTAACACCTGTGACGTGTGGATGTAACCCCCCATCCAAGCATTGTCCAGGATCAACTTTGCTTAGCTTTCAGAGATTGACAAATTTGGGCACGTTCCGGTCGATCTAGTCATAGGCAGTACACACTGCCCACTATGTACACGTTCCAGTTGATCTAGTCCAGGGGTCGGCAACCTACGGCTCCGGAGCCGCATGCGGCTCTTTACGGGCTGCTTCTTGACGATATGTACGTATGTACAGTATGTACTCAGATGCATTGCGGCTCTTGAAATACTGAATTTTGTACCGAATTGGAAAGAAATGGCTCTTCTTGTTATTTTGGTTGCCGACCCCTGATCTAGTCATAGGCAGTATACACTGCCCACTATGTATTGAAGCGTGCATGATTCTTCCACTTTAATTTTGGCACACTTGAGGTGACAGGGAGCCAACAAGGCAAAACATTGTATTTGACCAGAGGACACTTTTTTTAACCTTCGACAATATTTGCCTGTATTTACAGTACGTCTGTAAGCAGGTTTGCATCTACAAACATGACCTTCCCATGTATTTTCTCCATCTACTTTGTGGAATTGTCATGTTTGAATTGGCCGTTACCCTGTTTTCCCCGGTCACCGTACAGTATTGTATTAATAAAGTTGTATCTAATAGGGTACGTTTCGGGCAGTGGCTCTTCACAGAACAAGAGAGGTAGTCCCTCTACCTCACTCTACCTCTCTGGCCTTCCTGTGTGATTTGAAGAAAGGGCATTGCCCATTCTATAATTTTTTTAAAAGGTAGAATTATTGATGAATGTGAGGATATTTCTCTTCTTGGTTCTTTCGGTAAAGTCACGTAGAATGGAAACAATAAAAATAATAAAATAAAACATAATAAAATAATTCTCACGACGTTTCGGCCACAACGCAAGCAGCCGTCATCAGGTGAAGACCAGGTCTCCCCGACAGAGGTGAGAATTATTTTATTATGTTTAAATTTTATTATTTTTATTGTTTCCATTCTAAGTGACTTTACCGAAGAACCAAGAAGATGAATCCCTGCAGTCACGAAAGCTTTAAATCGTGAGGATATTTGTTGTTATTTTTGCTTGTGCACCACTGCCAATGCAGTATCGGGAGCTCGAGTGATTCACGAAGCCCCACTTGGGCCATGATTTGTTCTCCTCCGTGCTCCTGGTCATATTTTGTTTTGTCTTATCTGTGGTGTTCTTGTCGAAATTTTTTTATGATGCTCATATTTTAGATTTTAAGATGTTTGTGTGCTTGGTCGAAATGCTAAGCGTTTTGAGATGCAATTTACTCTATATAAAAACATTAGTTTGTATTGATGAACTTAACTAAGCTGTAGATTTGTTTATTATAATCTAGTTGAAGGATGCTGCCCATGGCGTAATGGTCAGCACCTTGGAGTTTGAAATACAGCGGTTGCCGGTTCTATCTCCTGGTGCGGCAGCCAAATAAATTATTTTCTTTTTTAAATTCCCTCGCTTCCATCCACCCAGCAGTATGGCTACACCAAAGTCTGGCAGGTCGCCTCTGGCGGGGTGAAGTATGGATACTCCCACCTCTTCCACGGCATCTTGCCAGCCTAGTGGAGTAGGTCAAATTACCCTCCAGTGGAGCTCTCTAAAGCTCCCTCTAGTGGAGGCTTTTCCACCAGCAGTGGTGTGAGGAAGTAATTTGACGACTACACCATTATTACCTTTTAATGTGATTGAAATGATCTGGAGCATTTGGATAAGGGAGAGCCCAACTAAGGTCTGCTTACGAGTCGGTGAAAATGCCAGCTGTACGAACAGCCCAACTTAGGGCATCTGTAGGATTTGTTGGGTTTAGTATTATGAATCTGTGAGGCTCAACGAGGCACTTGAATGGAATGAAGGTGTGCAAATGTTTGGCACAAAGCCAGTGCAGTAGTGTTTACCATGAACATCTGAGCCCTTCTTTGTGCCTTGGGGTATTTATTTTTTGACTGGAGATGTTATTTTAGTCACATTTGCATTATTCTTCTGTGAGGGGGTCAATGAAAATAAGTTTGCACATTGAACCACACAGTTATTTATTAACTCAAACGTTCTGAACTTTTATTCTTAACTACAGCCAAGATGTAAAACAAAACAAAATTCCCGATTAAACCTCGGCCCAAATGCACACGGTTTAAAAATTGTTTTTTACTGGGCAAAGGAAAAGGCACATTTGAGAAATTCGTGTTCAATTGTATAATTGTATTGTGTTGCTGGAGATGTTCACTGCACACTGAATGAAGGCCTAAACTAATGGATGGAGGAGATGAATGCCAGACTGTATAAAAAGAATAGTTGAATAATAGGAAATGAGGACTGCATTTGGTCCGCTTTTAATAGACCTTATCCTTGTTTTCTAATAATCAGGCTGCAGCTTATTAAGCAAAGCACATCACTGGGATGACACGCAGTATTGTACCTTCAAAGTCAGTTGGGAATGTCTTGTTGCAAAACATGTATACATGGTTTGAACGTATTACATAGCAGGTGTCAATGCTTTTACAAAAGTGGACATCTGGTTTGGCTATTCCAGAGCGAGGGCCATTGTGAGTTTAATTTGATTTTGTGTTGGCCAATCTGTGCACATGTATTCTCAAGGCAGGGTAATAATGTCTTCAACCAGGTTGACAGATTCAATTTCACTCTTTGTAACTGCAGGCTATGTTGTATTATCAACCGGAAACGACCAAATTAATTCCAGTTGCCATTGGTGATACATTTAGCACAACTGCTGGTGATATAAGCTATTTTGTACTTTTGTCAATCAAACTTATAGATTTCGTTTCCACCTGACATCTTGGGATGTTCGATTTTCTGGTGCCTCGTCATTTATTGCCAACATTCGCTGGCTCTGTAATATGTAAGCCAGGGTTCTTTATCTACAGTTTGTGGCCAAAATAATATCATTAGCGTGTGCTGGCGGGCTACATGACATCATGCTATGATGGCAAATAACTTCTTAATATTATAACCTGCATGTATGTCACCACTTAATGTTTCACTTAGGTCTCTCAGCTCTCGTTTATCTTCCTTTAATCTCACTAATCTTAATGTCGAGTCTACAGCTCAGTTATCTTTGTCTCTTGTTCGTCGTTTTATATCACACTAAGCCGCATCTCTTTTCCATCTAGTCGAGCTGTAGCTCGACTTCTCTTGCCACTCCTCAGCGGGGGTCATTCTGGGAGCTGTTATGGACCCAATTACGGCACGCGGGTCACAAGTGAAAGAAGCCTGTTCTAAGCCATGGACGTCGGTGGCGTCTGTGACAGGTATACCTGGGCGAGCTGCCGCACGACTTCCTGCGCATTTCCCCCACGGCTGAGCAGCAAGCCGCCCGGCCCAACGAGCTCGCCCGCCCCATGCTGCCCCTTGGCCGACTCAGCATAACAGTGATGCAGGTGCGTTACTCGCCGCGGCGCTCTCCTGCATCACGCTGCATTACACTGCACAACATGGTGCGAGGTATGTGTGTACGTATGTTGAACTTCCATCTCACGGCACGTAGCCAACCATGCTAATCGGAAGACGTAATAAAGTACGTTCAAAACAAATATGTGTTTTAAAGTTCATCGTATGCATGTTTGCATGACCTGTGGACTAATGATAGCAGTTTTGTTCAAGACTGGTTTCTATACAGGAGTGGTTATTTTTTAGATGCTTTCCAACTGAGGTGGAAATGGTTTATTGCATTTGTGGACGGGGTGGGGAGGGACCCATTTACTCATGTGATATCACCCAATATGAACGAAGCTGTTGTGTGTGTTGCTGATAAGGACCTATACCCCATTGAAAACTGGCGTAGAGCAAATGGGACTTTTAAAAATATGCACATTTATTTTTGCACTGACAACTACCCATCGGGCTTCTGGACTGCCAATTAAATTCTTCCAAGGACAAAACGCACGTTGAAGAGCATTGCAGAATCCATTCGTTAGCATGACTTTCCTAATTTGTTTGTTTTGTCTTGTTTTATTGCAGCAGTCTCTTGCCCCCCTTGTCCGTATGTAGGCCAGGCTGGTGAAGAACTATGGAGTGACGCGCATGGACCCGTACTGCCGTATCCGGGCGGGTTACGCTGTTTGCGAGACTCCCACAGCCCAGAACGGAGCCAAGAACCCCCGCTGGAACAAAACCATCCACTGCAATATACCCCCGGGGGTTGACTTCTTCTACCTGGAGATATTCGACGAGGTATTTGAAAGCCACCAACTCGCTTCACGCGGCCTCTGTGTGTCGGGAAGTATTCAAAAGGCAGCGTTGCTTTAAATGTCTGTTTTGGTTATTTAAGGTGGCTGTCACTGCTTAGGGGAGGTGTCGGGGTGTGTGCGGGGGGGGGGGGGAACCTTTTCCTGACCAAAGGCCGAATAGGAATTCCAATTACCTCTGGGTGGGCCCACGCATTTCACACACGACTCGTTACTTCTGTCATTGCAAAGAGGCCATTTGCAGTCATAGAGGTCATCGAGCGTTGTTAAAAATCATTTAAAGTTGCCACGTCGAAAATACGTAGTTTAACATCCAATTGATACGGCAAAGGTGCGTGCTTACAGTGACGGATACATGTTGTTTGCGAGTCGTTTTGCAGTGGTAGATCTCGTGTGGCTGCAGGCCGTATGAAATGAAGTCACATGTCATATCCGATCTTGATTTGAAGCTTTCATGACTGCGGGAATCCATACTGTTTGGTTCTTTCGGTAAAGTCACGTAGGCATAAAATAAAATAAATCACGACGTTTCGGGCGCAACACAAGCGTCCGTCACCATGTTTCCCTTAAGGTTTCCTACCCCTGGCTTTGGGTCATTGTCATGTTGAAATCTTTTTTTTACCAGAATGTAAATCATAATTATTTTAGAAACAGGGACTATCCACGCGAGGGCTCATTTGTCAGGTAATTAGAACCGCTTTTCTCATCTTTTCATAGAGTTTCAATAAAGCGTCGCGGTCAATACTAGGAATTTGAAATTCTGCGAAAGAGTCTGGTGCACGAGTACACGTGAAGTGCAACAGCCCCGCAAAGTGCACTGTGTGCGGGAGTGGGGGCCTGAATGATGTCGCCGTTTCCTCTATTGTGGGGGTGGGGGGTGAACACAGAGGGCCTTTTCCACCGACGACCGCATAGCCTGGGCACACATCCCCATCGCTGAACACGTCAAGCGGGGCGAGACGGCCGACGAGTGGTTCCTGCTTAGCGGCCGCCAAGGAGAGGACAAGGAGGGTACTATTAATCTGCTCCTACAATACACGGTGAGCAGCGCTTTGCACTCGGTATTTTGGGTGGGGAATCAACACGGCGTGTGCACCCTATTAAATACGCCCCGAATGACCAAATCGCCGGCAGGGATGTGCCCGATCTCGCAAGATAAGCAGGGTTCAGTTTGCACAAACGAGTTTTTGCAGTCCTTGCGGTGATGCATGGTGATCGGCAGAGGACAGTGCGGTGAAATCTGTTGTCCTGTGTTAGTATGCTTGCTGCCTTCATAAATCAACACTGGCCAGCGTGAAGCACGGTCAAATAACCCCCATGACCAGCACGGCGTGGGGCGGCCCTCATCCAGCAGTGGATTGACAAAATGACTGTACATGTATGATAAATACATGTACAGTGTTTATATCACACTTGTACAAACCTCTCAATCGTGAAGGAACGTAATGACTAGCTGCATGATTTGATGTTTTTAAGGCCACCGCATTTCTGGTTTCCCATCCCCCCCTCCCTGCTGCAATACGCGGTAGGAAAGTGGTCAGTGTTGTGGAAAATTGCATCCCTATCTGCTCAAGCAGGACAGCAATGGTTAATGTGTGAAATTTCCTTACACCAGATGGTGCAGCCCCAGCCCCAGGAAACTCTACAGGCTTACTACCAATCTGCTGGCTACATCCCAGGTACTGCATGTGATGAACTGTATATCCATCATCGCAAACACTTATACGGTTATGATGTATTTTATTAGTGGGACGTATTTTAAGCGACTGGTGTAAAGAAAATAAATAATCTGAAGCATGCCATTTATAAATTAGCATTCTGTACTTCCCAAGTGTAAAAATCAAACGTGGATATGTTTCAAGTTATCAGTGGTGGTTTGACTCGGTGTGCAACATAGCATTTGAAAAAATATATACTCGTATGCTCATGACACGTGCATTGAATCATGCAAGAATCATTCGACCTGTAGAATATGTACATGCCCTGCGACCCGATGCATTTCGTGAATATTTTCACAATGGTTGTACTTGCATACTGTACTTCTGCGTAGGTTTCGGCAGTTGTGCTGTATAGCTGTGAAGTGTTTTTGGATTGTAGCACGTGTTGTTCGTCATAGCGTCCGATTTTTCGCTGTGTGCTGGGGAGCTTCCGCAGGAATTGAAGATACGACCTCAATACACACGAGTATTGTGCTTGTTTGCCGTATTGGTTTGCTCACGGACAGTAGGCACATTCTCGCATTAAAAACAAATGCAGAGCGGTGGGGGAATGATGAAAAATTCGAATAGGCTTTTTACCCCTTCTGGTAATAAAACAGGTGTTAAGATGTTCAAAAACCGGATACCTATTGCAAGGCATCAAGTCTGCGTTAACCACACATACTTATGGCAAAACATGAAGACAAACATGCTGATAATATACACATTTTCTTTTAAATTGATTGGCCTACACCAGAGGCTTTGTCTCACCATGTGTTAAACCGGAGAATGCCGAAAGGCGAGCAGTACAAAGGCAATGCAGGCATCACAATATTAACAGCTCGCATTGAGCAGTTACATCTACGGGGAGCATTTGTGCCAGTATCAAAACGAAAAAATTAACCCGTAAAAAAAAGTTTTTCACTATAAATCCTTTATATGCGTGGTGGCTAGAGTCCTTTCGTCCTCTGGCTTGAGATGGCTGCCACCTATGGGTCAGATGATTGCCTGCCACCATTAAGCAATTGGTAATTAAATATAATTTATTTTTTCCTAAAAAGTGTAAAGTTATGGAATTTTTTTTCACGAAAATAAATTGTCACGCACATTGAGTGTGCAAAATGTCAGCTCGATTGGATCACGGGAAGTGGGTTAAAAAACGACCGAAAGATTTGCACGGTCTTAAGTGCGCAAGCAAGCAAGTGAACTTAATATAAAGGATAAAAAAAAAAATAGATGCCACACGGTGGTGGAATCTTCACACGATTGGACAAACCCCTGCAGTGGCAGTTGGCGAGGTGGTGGTGGTGCCTGGCGGCGAAGCAGTAGCCCAGCCCCCATCGGCCCCACCGCAGACGGCGCCCGCCCCAGACACGGAGGTGCAAGCGCTGCGCGAGGTGTTCCCGGGACTTGAGCCTGAGTTGGTGCGCTCTGTGCTGGAGGCGCAAAGCGGTAACCGGGAGGCCGCCATCAATGCTCTGCTCCAGATCAGCAACTGAGGTGGGACAGCTCGGCTTTGGGGGGTACGTCTCTCGTTAAAGGGCGTGCGCACTTCTCGGACCAGCGTTGTAGATGCCACTTTGATAGTCTCTTGTATGAAAAAATGCGATTTGGCCACCGTTTTGGTCGCTTGCCCCTTTTGTACAAAGCCTTTGTTGCACTGTGGTTTGAGCACTGGTTGTTACCGTTTTGATTTTGTCATTTGTTTGTGTTTTTGGTTTGTATCTGTTTGCAGAGGACGCAAGGCAAGATTGTCAAGTCTTGAGTTTACCGATCCCATAAACGGCTTCTCGGCATGTTCTATATTGATAGGGGTCTGTGCTGTGTCCTTGGGTCAAATTATATCAACAAATCCTGAGTCATGGGAGAGTCCTGCACCTGTGTCAGGTGCCGATATTTTGCTATCCGTTTTTTTTTTATCTCTGCTCCCTTAAAGTGTAAGACGTCAGTATCACCACTCACACTTTTTTCCTGAATGGTGTGAGTATATTGCTTAAGCTGTCCATAAGCCAAGAGGGTTTCATGGTAATGTGACGAGCACTGGATGAACTTGTATGGTGCATGGTTTGCAGTATGTGACCTTTTAGTGTTAGGCACGATGTGGGCTGTATCCCAGGACAGGTTCCAATGGCTACAAAAACACCACCGAGTAAGCAGATACATTTTATTGGCATTTTAACCCAACGGTACTGTTATATACTTTCAAATGGATGTCTGAAGGGCAGTTTCAACCCTGAAATATACACTTTGAAGTGATTTTTTTTTTACAGAGTATGAAGTTCTATTTGCACATCAAGTAGCAGCCATTAATATCGTTTAACATTTGTTGGTACATTCCACATTTCTAATTCCTATTTTGAATTTGTCAAGAATGTTCTGCCATGCAATTCTGTATTTTCCTAGATACCTGGGTATGCAGTGTTTTAAATTAGCCTCTGGAAAATATTTAATACCCTGTAATGGTAAAACCAGCTTAAAGTACAGACTAAAGTATTTACCTTAAAAAGATACCTAAATGCTAATTCTTTTTTAGTACTACTGTGAAATTGTAATATATTAAGGGGTTTGAAAAAGCGGTGCATCTGTATACTAGTATTTGAAAATTGTATAGCTTCATTCCTGTTAATCACTGTTTTTCGTCACTGTTGACTGGAGTGTATAATGTGAAACTCGTACATGCCAAGCAACCAACTTTCACCAGCTTGCTTAGATATAGTGTTGTAAATATTTGACGATATACTGTATATGGATTCTTATTAAGCATTTGTTTTTACAAAATGTTAAATTAGCAGCCATTTAAGAAACAAACCTCATGAACCCAACTGCCAGCAGTTTCAGAGTGCACAGTAATGTGCATGTCTTCATTGGTTGGTTTACTGTTGTGGAAACCCACTTGTTTACATGTTTTTATAATGCTCTCTTTTAGAGACAGCAAAACTATCATATCTCACTTTAACAGCAAATAACTATTTGAAATGAGTTGTTCCTTGTACCGAATACCGTATTGTTTTCCAAGTAATGACATCTTCATTCAAATGAACAGAAATATACTCATTGGGTCGACCCTATAAAGGTCTTTGTGTTCACCCATGTTATCAATGCAGTTGGGAACTTAACCCCCCTTGTGGTGCAGTTTTATAAAAAGGGAAGCAATGTCTTTAAAAATAAAACTGAATTTCAATATTGAATTCAAGTCTCTGCAGTTTTGCTTATGGGCTTGCCAAAGTGTAATATAAACGTGGTAACTGCATTTGTTTAAAATGGCCTCATCCATAGTGGATAAATACATATTCGAGAGATAAGAATGGGAATAATTATAACCAGTAAAAACAAAGTTTTTCACTATAAATCCTTTATATGCGTGGCAGCTAGTCCTCTCGTCCTCTGGCTTGAGATGGCTGCCACCTATGGGTCAGATGATTGCATTGCACCATTAAGCAATTGGTAATTAAATATATTATTTTTGTCCTAAAAAGTGTAAAATTTTGGGGAAAAAATTTCACGAACATTAATTGTCACGCACAACGAGTCTTTGTGGAAAATGTCAGCTCGATTAGATCACGGGAAGTGGGTTAAAAAACGACCGAAAGATTTGCACGGTCCTAAGCAAGCAAGTGAACTTAATATAAAGGATTTAAAAATCAGCATTACATTCTGGAACACATTGAAGTATTTTTTTTTAAACTTTATTCACAATAAAAGATCAATACATCTGCACATTAGTTTGTCAGAAAACATGCCAGAACTACATTTATCAAAAGTTTTAGATACACTTTAAAATTTGAATAACACAAATTATCACCAAGTTGTAAATTATCCGTGGACTATACAAAGCGTTGGTTGAGGCGCGCACACATACAGCGGATGAGCATTTACAATGTTTGTACAGCTGTGTAACCAATGAGGGGTGTGCCAGGTAATAAAGGTGTAAACACTGCCCAAACTGCATGTTTTTTTTCCAGTCCTTGTATCAGTGGCTTTATATTAAAAAAATCCTGGGGAAAAGTCTAATTATGTTTCAAATCTACAACAGATAACCAAAAATAAGAATGCGTGTAAGATCATTTGTTTTTATAATGCTTGACTTGACCATGAATTTTTTTTTAAATGAGAAATACCATAGTGTAATAAAACAGTTCCAGAGGTGATTAGCCCCTCCCCACAACCTGAGTATTGGCAGTAATTATTTTAAATTATTTTTTATTTGAATACACTAACCTGCCTCCCTCCTCCCCCCATCCCTAATATCTCTAAACAAATTATACACTGCATTGTTTGGCAAGTCTACTTAATTGCCTAAATCACAATAAAGGAAACAAGTAAAATATTTGCATGCAAACATTTTAGTGTTTGGTATATAAGCTTTTAATGTCCCTCTAATTTGCAAAAAGGGAAACAAGCAATCACTGGTGTACAGCCCAGGAAGGAAAAGTGCAAACGGGGTTACATATCCTTGCGAAAAAGAGACAGGAACAATTTGGCAATATTTTCTCCAGGGGTATTTTCAAGATTATCTCAAGTTTATTTTTGTAGTACTGCAATATATACAATTTGAATGCGCACCTGATATGCACACCCCTGCAAGGTCAGTGTATACCACTGTACACCAGCTGCCACTCTTTATACAACCGAACCAGTCCTTAAAACGCATTTTTTTACGAAATTGCTCACACTTTCAAAAGATTTTTTTTGTCAAATATTATTGCATTATATTTCTGAGAAAATAGAAACAAAGCTATTCTCATCCAAAGTATATTGATGGTATTTTATTAAGAGGAAACACTGCTCAGAAGCAGCATACCCTGCTTGACGCATTTTATAATTTTTTAAAGTAAAGTTTCACCATATTTAACACAATGTGTGCAGACTAAATGAATTTCCACGTTACACAGCTAGCAAACTTACATGGAAGACAAAATGTTATTGATTTTTTTTTAGGCATAAGAAAACAAATCTCGATTGTAATCAGAAAACATAGCATAGGTAACATCGCAAAGCAAATTCACAGCCTTTGCTTTAGAGATCACCTTGTGCGCCCCAGATTCTGTGATGATACTAAACACTAAGGTAATGAAGAGCACACCATACGTGCTTGTATGCCCCTGCTTTTCATCCCCCAGTGTTCCAGCCTCCCGAAGCCACCTTTAAAAAAGTATAAAATAAATAAATCTGCTAAGCTTTGGCTTTTCGAAGCAGTGGTTGAAACAAGAACTGGATACAGCTGAGAAACAGAAAATGTCACTTGTCACGAGGACATTGTGTCGTGTTGTGCCCCAGCTCATTAAGTGACACACACTGCCAAAAGATAGTGAGGTAGCCTTAACTACAAAAGTTTTGATGACGATGCAAAGTTTATTCTACAATTAACAATTCCTTAATTGCACTGGCCTATTATCACTTACATTGCTCTTTGTCTTTAAAAAGACATTCTCTGTCGAAAATTATCTTCAAAGCTCTTCTGAAGTGGAAGATCATCTTGTACGCATAAACCATGCACCCATTGCTGTATAGATAAATGTCGATTTGGGACTGCTGCGCTGAATCATTGACAAAGTAAGGTTTAACATTGCATTGGCTTGTTAAAAAGCAGTACTTACAATAAAGTACAATGAAGAAATTCATCAACTGCTACATATTGCTAAGTGTCGAAACATAGCTCGAGAAGCAGAGAGGGAAGCTTTTCGGAGGCTTTAGATTTGACAATTGCAATTTTTACATTGTTAGTATACTGCCAGTGTAATTCCAAATGAACCTCAACGAATAGCAGCATAAGAATTTGGGCAGAAGGAAGATCCGATAAGATCTGCACACCGATTTACTAACACTTATACCTCTCCAGCCCTCCCCAACGCTTTTGCACTCACTGGCGTCAATACGCCACCGAACTTTAATAATTCATGCAATTGTGCATTTTAAAACCAGGACATTTTCCTTCTTGTAGGCAATGTTTTTTTTATAACAAGATACTCAAGCCATAAGTGTGCTACCTGGCTGAGGTGTCGCGCAGCCCCAACGCCAGCTGCTGAACTCAACTCATCGGTCGGGAACTGTGACTCAGCGTAGGTCACAATGGGCCATTCACTGTAGCATCAGTGACTGTAAGAAGCTGAACAGGTGGCCTAAAAAAAAAATCACAAGCACAAACTCATGATCAATATATGTATATATATTTTTTACTGTAACATTCACAATATTAAAAGTCCAATTAATTAAAATGTCGGTGTAACAAAGGGCACTTAGTAAAGTTCATGTATTTAAATAGTCCTCAACTTCGCAAAATATCTCCTGCACAAGAGGTTCTGCAATTGGACTCGAACAAAGCAGCGTCAGAATAATCCACTGAAATTGCAGCGACCGTTCTCTATACAAGAATAGAACTAAACAGTTCATCACCAAAACCGACATAAAATAACCACCACAAACTACAGCTGTAAAGGATGGTGATTTATTGAAGACTTCCTAAAGAAATATTTGCATCTGGTATATTACACAATACATTACAGGAGCTTTACATTTTACACATTTCATGTGGCCTTTGATATTTCTACGCGATGGGAGTTCACATCATTGCTGGGAGGAATTTTAGTTTCAACACGAATGGGCATACTTTGTTTCTGTTGCCGAGCAACCTTCCTGCATTGGCCCATTTGCCAGTGCAGGCAATCGACCAACGGCTTCCACTTTGGCCGCAGATTCTGCTTCAGTGCAAGTGGACGGACTCATCTTCGGGCTGCCACAGACAAGGAGGCACACCCATTCAGTCAGCACACAACACAAAGCACTTCCATGCAAAAATGACAAATCATTGGGCAAATATCACATTTACTTGGTGCAGTGGAATTAGTATGTAACGCATCAACCACTCGGCAATTCTAAGTGTGATTCAGGACTGTGGTTTTATTCAATAAATTGATTTTTGTCCCACTTTTTAACATGTTTTTTGGTGCTGACGTTAAGAAAAAAACGCCACTTTTTTTAAAATTATCTTTCTGTGGATTTCACACCTGATGATAATTGCTTATGTTGCAGTCGAAACGTCGTGAGAATTTTATTGATTTATATTTTTATTATTTTATTGTTTCCCTTCTACATGACTTTACCGAAAGAACCAAGAATATGAATCCCTGCAGTCACGAAAGCTTTAAATCAAAATGTTTTGTAAACTTGTATTCATACCATTAGCCGGAATGTAAAATTAGCACAATTTGCGTAAACGCTTTTGACGCATGTGTCATGAGCTTTTAGAATCTACCAAATTATGAATCATTACATTACAGCCTTAGATATTAATTAGGCTGTGTCTCAGTTGAAATGCATGTGGCAAAACTTGACAAAGGCTTTGCAAACCTGCTGATAGGGCTGATATCACGCTGGCTGGCCAAACATCCACCTTCCGAAGCGGGTGATTTATCAGCTGTTATAGGCACGGCAGGTGTAACAGCAGGACAGCTGGCTTGACGAGTTTGCAATGATGATGGAGAACTGCAAACAGCAATAACAACTATTTAGCGACTCAATTGCAAAACGCGTGATATATTGCACAACATTAGACGTGCAGTGCCGAAATATCACACTTGCAAAGAAATATGATTGCAATGTCAAAAACCTACCAGCTACAGGTGACACTGATCAGTCTGAAGCAATAAGCACATTTAAGGAAAAGAATAACAGCAATGAAATATTTATTTTCACACAAATTGTATTAAATATAACAACGGACTTTTGTAAAGGATTACAGCAAGGTACTTCAAAAAGTTTAAACGGCAATTTTACACTTACCAAAAGATCCTAACCACTATTTTCTCCCTGCCACCGCATTTAATGAAAGAGAAAAGGTCTCCAAGTTCATTGGCAAAAAATTACCACCAGAATCAAAAACAGCACCATATAAAAATGTTTTAACATTTGGATTACGTATTACTTTTTAAGGATGAACATACTGCTACGAAAGACTTAATTGCAAAGCGATTAAGTAAAATACGTTGAGCAGTGACGGAATAAAAAACCAATGCAAGGTCCTCATATGGATAACAGCGTATCCCACCTGGTAGACTTGGGGTTTGCAGAAACGGCTGGACTCAGCCTAGACTGTTGGTCAACTTCAGTCAAGGTCTTGACAGGTGAGTTTTCTGCACACTGCGGCGTAGAGGCAGCTGCAACGGGGTTGACCGCCAGCGCCGCCCCCTCGCTGGGTGTCCCTGCAGCGCTCGCTGATGCTAGGCCGGTCGTAGGCGACACGCCCTCCTTGGCCGGGTCGTCTGCTTTGTGCTGTGACGGACGGGGGGCATCTGCCGCCAGGGTGGTTTTGGTAGGGTCTGCATGGGTGGAAGGATGCTGCTCTTTGTCCTGTGGTTTTTTGGGAGACTTCAGGGGCTCGGGTCCTGCGTGTACTGCTATTAAAAACACACATTTGGCCATCAAGAGCACATTAACGGCATTAGAAAAGCTCCGTGTAAAGCAAAGGCAAGCTGTAAAAAGCATATTCATAAAACGACAACTGAATTACAGTACATGGGTTATCTTAAAAGAAGAAGCACTTTGCAATCACCTGGTTCCAGTAGATTAGGTTGGCTTTCATTGTGCTCCTCAGGCTCTGCCCCCGTCTCCATTGCCGTAGGCGACTGAATGGCATCCTCGACTTGGGCACTGAGACAGACACACGAAAGAGCACACCAACAGCTGAGCACCGCAAAAACATTTTTAAGTGCAGCAACCACATGACTGCAAGCGGACGAAGGTTTGCATTTTGAGTTGACCCTCACGGTGCTGCTGCTGCTGCTGCTGCGGGTCTGATGGCACAGCCCTGGGGGGGGTTGCTTCGCTCTACACTCGCCGCCTCCATGGGCTGCACGACGCTGGCTCCGAGTGGCAGCGGGGCTGAGGGCTCTTGCATCTCCATGGCAACCGGAGGTTGTGACGTGCAGTCATTGATTTCCATGGCAACAGGCGTTGTGGTAGTCTCACCCGTCTCCATTGCGACATCTTCCACATCTGGTGCGCAAATGTTTTAGAGAATTAAATAATAGAAACATGCTTATCCAATAAAACGGTAGAAACTTTGAAATGGCAGTGAATGTCATTGTTTCAATTCGAAGACAATGTTCAATTGCTTAGCTGAGAACTGCTTTCACTTGTTACATAAACACATATATACACCTTCTTGGTTCTTTCGGTAAAGTCACGTAGAAGGGAAATAATAAAAATAAAACATAATCAAATACAATTCTGACGACGTTTCGGCCACAACGCAAGCAGCCGTCCTCAGGTGAAGAACAGAACAGGTATGTCGGAAAGACAGCGTCTGAATGACCACCACCAACCGAAAGAACCAAGAAGATAAATCCCTGCAGTCACGAAAGCTTTAAATCGAAACATATATATACACGTTAATTGTAAGGACGCCGAAACTTGCCTGTGGCGGCCGGATCAACTTCCATCTTCTCATACGAGTTTGTTGCTGCCGGCGCCGGTTTCTCCGGTGAGTGGAACACGTCCCCAGATCCTCCGTCGCCCTCCTCCGAGTCCGAGCTGCCCTCGCTCTCTTCTCCATCGCCGTCACTCTTACCCGGCGTGCTGCTGGATGTGCACGCAGACATGTGACGCACGCAGGGCAAGGGAGCATGGCAATGAGCTCCTGCAGCTGAACATCTGTGAATAATCCCCCCCCCCAGGTTGAATGTCGTGAGCATTTGAAGGGAACAAAAATACTTTTAGGGTTTGCACGTGGTTTTCAAATTACCTTTGTCTGGCCAGAACGGCAGTCTGGTAAAAGGTCTCCTTATCTTCCCAGATATCTTCCTCTTCATCCGAGCCGCTATCTTCAAAACGCCGCCGAGATTCACCACTGCCTGATCCGTATGGGTTCAAAACCGGCTGCAGCACAAGAGTCTATGTTAGGAGCTGAACACATGATCACTTATTTCAAAAGTACACGTGATTATGCTCAATGCTCGACGACTGGTACATTTGTTTTCATCCCAAAATTAAACGATAATTTTAGAAGCCGAAATAATATTTAAGCCATACTGCCAAAAAATCCACTTACATCAAAACTGAGGTCAGAAATTCTGTCGAAGGAAGTACTGTAAAAAAAAATCAGAACACTCCATCAATTATCGCAAAGTAGTTTGTAAAACTGCAGAATACGACGATTAATGAAAATAATCTTTTTATCTATCAATTTACAATTATATTTAAAAAAATGGAACGACTTTCTTATTGGGATTAAATTTAAGCCTCGAATAAAACAAAAACATTCTTACTTGACTCTGTCCTCCTGCCCAGCAAATTCATCTTCATTGAAGCCAAACTGATCAACAAAGTTGGAAGTCATCTGCTGCATCTGGTAATCATAAAAGGTCTGGTTCAGCCAGCACCCAGGAAGCAAACGGTTCACAGGAGCCACAACTGATATCACAGATCAGTGCCACCACAAGGCACCAAGGCATTGAGGAGTTACAAAACTCAAATTGTAAGTGTGTGCACATACAATACATGTTGCACTGGACTATGCACTTGTTATACCTGCTGCACAGCAAATTCTGATGGAAATCCTATGTTCCTCAAGTCGGACTCATCCTCATCCTCCGATGAATGGAGTACTGGAGTACTGACCTATCAGGACGAAAAAAGAGATGATCAAAGAAAACATAGCAGGCAAAGCCTTGCCAATTGTTAAATATGAAATATATAAAACGGATCAACAGCTGAACTATAACAAATTCTGGGAGCGCTTCGTACCAGGTCCGTGGTATTTCTCTTAATCATTTCCGCAAGCGGTCCTTCAATGAAGCCCTCCCACTTTTCTCTGTACATATCTGGTAGACCTACGGCAAAAATGGACAGCAGAAACACAACAAATTATATACAACCACAAACACAAATGCCACTAAATGTCAGGACTTCTCCACTCGACCTGTATGTAGTTCAGCACTCCGCATACCCTTCAGCTGCTCCTGTATGAGCTCTTGGTTGGGGCCTTTCCCAGAATTTTGTATGAGGCAGTTGGCTACTCGTGTCAGGTGGCCCATGTAACCACGCCGCCTTCCTCCGTTTGCCCTGCACAAGAGCACATACCATTTCAGGACAATGTCAAGGGTCACTGCTCCTGTTATTTAGCTACCAAGATGAGGGTTTACACATTGTATTGCATAGAATCTAGGAGCCCAAAGTGGCTATTTGTTGGTCAAGAAAGCGTGTACGTGAAACAACTTATTTTACGACAGTTTGCCAACTTGCAAAAGAAAGACAATCGAAAACAACTCACTGTTCTTTGCTGTTGCTTTCCCAGGCGTCTAGTGTTCTCTCAACTAGCCTGCAGTTTTGGAACAGCTGTAAAACAGACAGGCATACACAACGCCTTCAAGGAGCCATACAACAACGTAAATACATCCTCGTCAGATAACACTCATGCTTGTTGCTTATTTTGACCTCAAGCGTGACGAAAATAAAAAAGTGTTAATTCCCAAGGGTACCCGTAAACGCACGTGTGCAATGAGTGAGCTGTCCGCCTTGGCGTTTTCCGCGGGATCAGCTTCAGGCCCCTGGCTCTCGGAAGCCTCCTCCTGGACGGGTGGTGGTGGTGGGGTCATCACGGGACGACTCAGCACGGCCGTCAGGCACTGCTCCACCTGCAGGTGCAGGAAGTTGTTCCACACATACTGGAAGAACAGGTCCTGCAATGGAGAAGGAATGGAACAGGCCAATAGATTACACAGGTAGGAACAACAGTTCCACACTGCCCACCAGGGATTATTTGTCTGTCTGTCGTGCATAGCCACGCCCTCGATTTGTATTTCATAGAGCGCTTCGGGCGGGCTCAGCACCACGTGAAGCGCCGCGTGACACGGATCGCACGAATGCGCTGTCCAACCAAGTTCCTAGCTGCCCACTCCGAAGTAACATGTTCAACTCCCCAACCGATATAGACAATAGAACAGCCCTTAACGACCACCCCTGTTAATGACTAATCGCTTAAGGACAGGCCTCCGTAGAACACAATGTGTTCACTTACCGACCATTTCCCTGTTAACGATAGGCTGTTGTAGGTACACTACAGATGGAACATTTTACTTGTGTTTAAATTGTACATGATGCTCGGAGCAGCTATTCACCCTGCTCATGGCAAGTCATTATATAATTTACATCTTACTGTGGCAAAGAGCATTAGTCACTACAGTGATGTATGCATCACTGTGATGCACCAACCTCCTTCCCTCACCAATATCCAATGGGAAAAGGTGGTCCAGAGATGCATTATCATAACAGTTGACACCGAGGTAAATAAGAGTACATTGTACTCACGTAGGAGTGCCATTTGTCTAATTAGCGGTAGCCACTTCATCAATAAAAGTATATTTTATCATACAGATATGTAAAGATTTATTTCAATTCTATCATTTTATATTCATAAACTCGATATTTTGTCCCGAAGAGTTGACCAAGGATGGGATGCCTGAACCAACAAAAATACACATTTGCAGACAGACAAACACTATACCACTGATCCACAAAGTTGTCATGGCCCGTACCAACAGTACGTTGATCGTGTCAAGTTCCATTAGCTCTACATTGATGCTGGACACGTTGCTCTGCAGAATCGCAGCCAGAAGCTTCACCACATGCAGGCGGGTGTTACCCAGTGGAGGATCCAGAGAGCCGGCAGTAGTTATCATGGCAGCCTTCTGTTGATAAAAAAAAATAAAAATAATACAGACCTGTTATTTACACGTAATTTCCATGGGTGTCACACAAACTGCAGTCGTTTACTCGGTTTAAAAATTATACGGTACTACAAGAAGCCAACGCCCACGTGCTTTCAAGTACATAATGAGAGAGCTATGAACATTTAACATTCCTGTGCATCTATACTATAAACAAACTTTTTTTATTTTACCAGCTAAGGCCCAACTGAGCTATGTAGCTCTTCTTCAGAAGCGACCTGGCTACAAATGATAGCTCAGCAAAGTGGCTTATTCACGTGGAAATGCAGAGTAGCCAAATAATCTAAACACACATGTTGAGTCTAAATGTGGAGGGGAAAACTGGAGGACCCAGAGAAAAATCCACGCGACCACGGGGAGAACATGCAAACTCCAAATATACAGCAGGCGTCAGGGTCGGGATCGAACCCACAAACTCCTGTATACCAGGCGAGGTAGGTAACATCTCGCCACCGTGGCATCCTTACATATACAACCCTCATTTGTCAATCCACTGCTGGATGAGGGCCTATTCACCCCTGGTCATAGCAGTTACAAGGCCAGACATCATGTTGGTCAGTGGGGGGGGGGGAGGTTGGAGTGTGAGGCATGGATGCAAAGAAGTACCGAACAATAGATTTGACTTGCACTGCCCTCTGCTGCCAACCACATTTCCATGCAGCCTTGTGACAACCTGTTTGCTCATGGCAGTCACCCATCGAAGCACTACCCAGGCTCAACTCTGCTCAGCTTCTGATAATGGATGGGACTGGGCACATTCCAAGTGATTTGGTAATAGGCTGTCCATCTATAAGGTAGTAAATATGTAGATTGCAGACCTGCAACTGTTTTCTCATGCTACTGCTGGAGGAAGGGCCTCCACTAGCCGTGGCTCTAGACAGACTTCTCTCGAGGGTATTTTGCCGATTCTTCCACGCTGGCCAAACATCTTGGAAGAGGTGGATGTACCCCCACTTGACCTCACATGTGACCTGCTTTGTCATCTGTAGTGTACTCATTTATACTGCTGAGTAAACAACACCCCGTTGTTTCAACTGCCACGCCGAGAGATAGAATCGGTGACCTCTGGATTGCAAGTCCAGCGTGCTAATCGTTGCAGCATCGCGTGCATTTATAACGCTCTAATAATTGCCATGGGAGCTAAGATGTGGCGTTAGACCAGCTGCATTAGAAACCTTGGGTGGCTGTAGCAGCAGCTGGTGGAGATCGCTGAGTTTGGGCTTGATGCCCAGCAAGACCGAGCGGTTAACTGCAGGAGACGATTGCTCCAATGCATTTGGAAACATGTCTAACCCTTCGGCCCTGCACATGATGCCTCCAAACATCTCTTCTGGGTACCTAACGCAAGCCACAAAGACATACAAATCGTGTAATTCTCCAAAGCACACACAATCAATGGCAATCGTTTAAATTTGAATAACTGCTTTAGAGCACAAAAAAAAAACGACTTGACCTGCTTAATAAGTAATGGACCATTGCCTTAACATGCTCTAGTTTGGAAAATCAAGCTTAAATATGTTAAGATGTAGTGCTCTATGAGTAGCAAATTGGAATACAAGTCACGTTGCAGTCAAGGTATAAATCGTCATTGGGTACTAAACCAAAGATGTAAACTTGTTTTTTTGCAATGACTCACGTGCTATGCATCTCATTTTCACAACACAAAAAGACTGTAATTAGCAGCATTAATCACTGACATTAAGTCAATATTCAAGATATATTGGCAAGTCAAACCCTATTCTTTTCAATGGCAATGTCATTTGGGAAGACACGTCTTTAGTGATTGTCTCAAGACACAGCTAATATTGATGTTGTTTTATTCCAACCAACATTTTTCATGGACGAAGATTCCAGCATAAACTCATGACAAAAATGCAAAGCCAATTCAGACACACAAATATAATCATAACGGGCATTAACTATTGTGCCGTTTTACACGGACTCTGCATCGTGAAATCTTCTCTTACCCTGGGCGGCGCGTTTCCAACAAGGTGAGCAGCACCTGTATGCCGCTGACCAGGGCAGTCTCATTCATCTCTCCATCCAACATGGTGTTTAACAGCTGTTCAACGGTCTCTTGCCTGTATGAAGAGGGGGGGGGGGGGAACCCAGCACAAGCTGTTTTAGATCAATGTGAACAAGAAATAAAATTATGATATAATTTATCTCGGAAAACCTCACCGAGTCTCGCAGTGGACCAGCAATGGGAAATTTGCTGAATTCCCATTTTTTGGCAAGTACCGCGGTGGCGAGATGTTAACTACCTCGCCTGGTATACAGGAGGTTGTGGGTTCGAACCAGACCCGGACGCCTGTATATTTGGAGTTTGTATGTTGTCACCATAGTTGTGTGGACTTTTCCCTCCACAATCAGAAACATAAGTTTCAAGTATTTGGCTGCGATACATTTCCACATAAGCTATAATTTGTGGCTGGGTTGCTTCTGAAAAAGAGCTATATAGCTAAGTGGGCCTTACCGGGTATAGTAAAAAAATTTAGTTTTAAAGTGTGTTTTACATGAGATGGAACTGGAGTATCTGAATAAGACTTGTGCATGTGAGAGAGAACTAAAATGTCTGCATGGATAGGGTACTGAACCCATTTGTAGCCAACTATTGGCCACCTTGCAACCCAAAAAGTTTTGGGATGTCACCGATATATTTGATCCACCAACCCTTGCCTTCAAAACTGTGGATTACAGGCATGCACCACCACATAAGGTTCATAGTGTGCATGTATGCTAACATGATGCGTACATGGATACCATGCTCCTGTAGATACCATGCTTGCAGCAGTGACATGATGTATGTTTATCATACTACTCTTAAAATAATTTTGCCAGAATAAAAAACCTCAAGTTACATATTATCTAGGCATTTTATTACGTAAAAAGGCAAATTAATGTTAGTGCTCCGATTACAGGATGGTCAGAAGAGTATAAAAATGACAGCCGTCTTCATTTTCTATTGGAGAGTAACGTTTCCTCTCCTAGTTGCACATAAAAGAAAAGCATTCAACAAGGAAGCAGCCAAGTGAGCTTACTTTTCCAGCGTGGCGAGCAATGGTTCTGGGTCTTCTCCATCCGAACCGGCTTGCTCGCGACTCAGCCGAATAATATCACACAGTGACTGCGATGCATTTGAATGCCTCTGAAAAAACAAGTGAGAAAGTTCATGAAAATTATGGGAAGTCCAGGGCACAAGAAAGCCAGATGAGCATTAATTGCAATGCAATGTTATGACTTTACATGCCTCGTCATCCTGCGAAGGGTGGATAACCTCGATCAGCCGATTGACCAGCTTCTCTTCGTTTAACCACTGTAAAAGCATCAAAAACAAAGTTTAAATCTCATGCTCACAATTCAAAGCAAACAGCTCAACAGCTAGCTCAGCCAAATGTTGCTGAATGCAGCATAGCTAAGCCAAGGATATTGCTCTCAAAGTTGACTTACATTAAAAAGATCCTTCCGAAGCTCGGGTGAGTCGACACATGCCAGAAGCCGCAGCAGCAGATCCATAATGGCCGATGTGCCAATGTGCTTCAGCAGAAGAGACACAAAGTCGTTTTTCTTCCGCAGGAAATCCAGTATCTGATGGGAGGAACAGACCAGTGGTAGCATGAAAAGAGACTAATAATTTGAAAAAAAAAACGCACTTATCTTAGACAATGCAGGTGTAAACAATGCAGGTGAAGACAATGTAGTTGACAATGTTATGTCCGAACCTGTTCGGTCTTGCGGGTGATGAGGACGCCTAAGACCTTGCTGAAGAAGCTGGCCAATAGAGGGTTAAGGGGGCTCTCCTGCTCCAGAAAGGCATAGATCTGGCTCATCAAGGGTTCCTCCACCAGACGGTCATTTATCTGCATCACGTCAGCCGTCAGGATTTCACTCGCCACATTTGGGTGCCTAAAACGCAAAGGAAGTCAAATTGAGTACGAAACCTCACCAAAGGCATTGAAGGCTACCAACGTCACGTGACAATACGCTATACCAGGGGTCGGCAACCTACGGCTCCGGAGCCGCATGCGGCTCTTTACGGGCTGCTTCTTGACGATGAGTACGTATGTACTCAGATGCATTGCGGCTCTTGAAATACTGAATTTTGTACCGAATTGGAAAGAAATGGCTCTTCTTGTTATTTTGGTTGCCGACCCCTGCGCTATACATAGTTGCGATAAGCGTCTCACATTTACCATGCTCCAATAAATCGAATTAAAACACAGCCTCATTCACAAGGTTTTAACCACCAAGAATACAAATTAAATATAGTGCATTTATTTTGCAACGGATGACATTGAAAATGAATAGACCACCAAATCATATGCTGGGAAGCATTAGATTCACCAACTTATAAACAGAAAATGTCAAAATAGAGTGATATCATTTTCGGTCAAGTCACGTAAATAGAAATAAATAGATCACGACGTTTCGATCGCAACACAAGCAATCGTCTTCAGGTGAGAGAGAAAACGATCGCTTGTGTTGCGATCGAAACGTCGTGATCTATTTTTTTCTACTAGCTTTACTACCCCGGCTGTGCTCGGGACTTGCAATTCACCACGCCCGGCCGACTTTGTCCCCCCAGTGGTGATGTTCACACACCACACCAGTTACTCGTTTGAGGCTGAGTCGACCCAGGGGAGGCCCAGCACTGGTTAAAATAATCGTCACCACCGGTGGTGGCCGTGAGCGGGAATCGAACTCGGGTCGCCGGGTTCGTAGTGCGGTGCGCTAACCACTACACTACAATGCGTTACGCTTCCACATGTGCGGGTCACATGACAGATGTGACGTCACAGCTCACTTGCCGTGCAAAAAATATATGCATTATTGAGCTCCCCCCCCACCCCCCCAAAAAAACACAAAAGTTTATTTTTATAATTTGTGCATGGTGTAGTCTGGAAAGTACCCACATGGCAAATTTCAAGTTTGTTGCATGTCAAGAAGTACTCTAAACATTTTGAACAGACACATAATCACAACTTTGCCTTTTATATATATGGAGATTTACGCGACTTGACCGAAAGACCCAATGAGTATGAATTCCTGCAGCCACGAAAGCTTTAAATCAAGATTTATATCATTTTGTTACATTATGTCAACCACAATGGTCATGTTTTTTTTTTATCCGTGTCATAGGAGGTAATATACAATTATTCAAATCTCTTCAGAAGCATTGGTGTGTTGTTTTATAAAGTTTAGTTTTCCAATGGCACTCCAAACTGCTCGTGCCAATTCCTTATTTCATCACTTGATAGAGCAAAAGGTGAAAAGTTCACAAAAATCATGAAGAAGTGCACATGCTTGGATTTACAAGGAGATATGGAAAGATGTAACATGGTTCAGACAACATACACAAGAGACATATGCTGTTAGGAAGGAGTAAGTGGGTTTTTGGTCCAGACAAGTAACTGTAAGGTACAATGGCTGTTGGTCAAGACTAAAAACCAAGTGGCCGCCAAAGGACGAGGCACATTGAAGAGCCCGTTTGGTTAAGATTAAGTGATATCAGCTAATGTTCAGGAGGCTAGAGATGGATTGTTTGCATCATGAGAACAGGATGGATGACGTTTGCTTGGGGAAAACTTCATCCAGCAATGGAGAGATCAAGGTTGACGAATATGATGAGATCCCTGGATGAATAGCACCTTATAATTGTAAATTATTACGTATTATAATTTATCAAGGAATGAGTTAAACTCGATTTTCATGAGCAATTACACTTAGGCTAGGTTTACCACGATCAGTTTGGGTGGGAAGAATCCATTTAATTCGGGTTTCCGAATCTCCAGTCCTCACGACGCACTACGCTACATCTTTCAACGTTTACCAATTTACTCCCATTCAAATACACATTTGTTCATGCTGCACACGCCTGATGATTGCTAAAATACGTCAAACGTGACGCACGCAACAGTTGAAGCCATCATACACAGACGGTTTAAATTAAGCTTGAGAAAGATCAGTGTTCGTATGCATTCTGTGTGTGTGTGTACATGTTTTGCGTGTTACACGTGCGCGTGTACACGTGTTCCAGGTGACGCAGCCAGCGTTAATTGCTTAGCGTGTCAAGTGGGACGTGTTTAAAAATAATCGGGTTGCGTGCAGCGTGGATCGAGTTATTTGTATTTTAGATGGGGAGTAAATTGATAAATGCGGAGAGAAACAGTGTGGTGGGTCACGAGGAACGGAGTTTGGAAGACCCTGATTTAATGGTATTTGCAATGACAATATTAGTCACCATAAAAAGGTTAAGCTTGAAAAGTAAAGCTGCCTCACATTGCTAACCAAATGGGAGACTCAACAAATTCCATGACAAATCTACATCAATTTTGGCTTCATTGCATTCTTAAACAGTCCATCCAAAATCCAGAAAATAAGATTTGCTGCTCAGCCAAGGCTATTAAAATCTTGGGCGTTTTTTTTTCTTATCCAATTCTGCCTTTGTTTATCCAGTGGTAAAATGGAATACATACTTGTCTGTCGAGTTTGAGCATTTCCAGATGCTTCTACAACCCTTCTGCCTGGTATCAAGAGGACAAATGCCTTTTCGAAAAGCCTGGGGAGAGGAGTTTTAAACCGTGGAGGGGGCAGTGGAGGAGAATGAGGCAAACAACGAGAAAGAGCTCATCTTCTTGGTTCTTTCGGTAAAGTCACGTAGAATGGAAATAAAAAAATAAAACATAATAAAATAATTCTCACGACGTTTCAGCCACAACGCAAGCAGCCGTCCTCAGGTGAAGAACAGGTCTGTCGGAAAGACAGCGTCTGAATGACTTTACCGAAAGAACCAAGAAGATGAATCCCTGCAGTCGCGAAAGCTTTAAATCGAAAAATAAAAGAGAAAGAGCTCGTCGCGCTGGGAAACGCGCAGAGGCGGCACGGCCAACGAGAGAGCTCGGCACGTGAGGAAAGCGTGCGACGGCGGCATGGCGACGACTTGCTTGAAGCGCAGGCGTTCCTCGATGTCCCCGGGTGGCTCGTGCGTGATGAGGCGCACCAGCTCGAGCATGGTGTCGGGCCGCAGCAGGAAATCGAGCAGCTTGCGGTTCTGTGCCTTGCACTCCTGCAGCACCTCCTCCTCGTCCAGCAGCTCCTGCAGGGTGACGTCGTCGCGCTCCAGCAGCGTGTCCACCTGCGACGAGGTGTGCAGGTCGAACTTCCAAAACATGGCTGCTGTGGGAACTGCACCTGGACAAGACGGGGGGAGGGAGAGGGGGCACACGAAAGTGGGATGCTGAGTAGAGGTTCTTATAACACAGGTAGGATCAACAGTTGCACACTGCCCACCAGGGATTATTTGTCTATCGTGCATAGCCCCTCCCAAACATGTACGCTGGCGGATTGGTTGAAGTGCGTCACGTGACCGCGAGCTCTCTGTCGTGCACGAATGTGCTGCCCAACCAAGTTCCTACCTGCCCACTCCGAAGGAACGTGTTTTACAAACCCCCCTGGTGAGCCAATGAATTGCTGTGAAATCAAGGTGACAATTTGATTAAAGAATAAAATCTTTTTTTTTTACTTGACACTGTGGTACGTGTAGCAGTCACTTATGGCTGCAGGGGGCCACATGGACCCTTTAGGTAGAACATACAATCCAGCATCATTAGCTATGGTCAATCCAATGCTGGATTAACGTCCCCTCTAAGCCGGCACATATATGACAGACATGAATAAATAAACATCGATTTTGAAACATATGACTCAATATATTATTTGCAAATTCTGAAAATATTAATCACAAGGTGCACGCAGAGCGATAAGATGAGTACTGCTTGCCCACGCTTAACATTTTTGTTGCTGATGCCGTGTAAAAAAATATATAAACTTGTGAAATTATGTGCTGCATTAATGCTATTTTTGCTCTTTAAATAAAGAACCAAAGAGTATAGATTCCTGCAGTCACGAAAGCTTCAAATCAAGATCTTTACATAAACATACAAAAATACTCACTGCTTACTAAGTGGTTACTTTCGAGGAGGGCATTTGAATTCATTATCAGTATTCGGATTCCCATGAAGTGGATAAGCAAACCTATTCAATTGTCTATTCAATTTGGGCATACGTCTGTTTATGTTCAATTAAAGCCAACGAATGACAGTTTAAAGGACCTGTTAACTTGGGCAGAAAACAACTCTTAACACACTTATATACAGGGCGACCCAAAATTCATGACACATTGGGTTATATCATTAACTTTAACGCTGGCATGAAAACATTGTGATTGTTTATTCTTTAAGGCAATATTTTTTTATCATCTATTATCATCATTAATATAAATTTCTTCTTCCTGTGAGGTGACCTAAAATCCGTTATTTACAAAACGCGACCAAAACAACTGATGAATGTTCAATAATTACATCTGTAATGTAAACAAAAAACGTCCTAAATTAATTTCAAGACAATTCATGCATTCGTGTTAATAGAAGTCAGAAGAAACATTTGTTAAAATAAGTAACATAACTATGTTATTTGTTAAAATAAGTATATCCTGACCTTTGAGGTACCCTGTAGACTGAACATGTTAAGTAAGGTATGCTCAACTCGTGTGAGATTAAACGCGGACGTTCTGAGTAAACTAAATGTCCACCCATCTATTTTTGCACTTTTAAGGTCCAAAACATTGTTTGGTTTTCATGTGAAAGGAAATGAGACCCAATATAGAATTTTAACTGTTTTTTTTTATAAGTGTGTAGACCACACAGCTGCCTTGGCAGATAGGCAGTGGTAAAAAGTACAACATGTGACTTGAGAAAGCATGACTATCCGGGACTGTTAAAAGGAGTCAAGTGTCAAAAGTAAATAAGATCATTTACTTTGAAAAGTCAGAGCTCAAAATTCAGTTATTTTATCGGATCATCTACATTGACTTAAGTAATTGGATCTATAAAGTATTAAAATCACTTTGCTGCAGCACCTCCGTGAGAGAAGCCAAAAGTAAATCTGACTAAGGCATTGTATTCCGGCATATAAAGTTCCATGATTCTTTAACAGGTCTGATATCACAAGAATAATTACATTCCACAATATAAATTTGGGTAACCCTGCTTTGTGGACGCCAATGACTCAGAACTAAGTCTAATCTTTATTGTTACGCATTCGTGTTATGTTTGTACGGGAGACATGCAGCTTTAGACCAGGTACATCAATTACCATTGGCAATTTTGGGGGTTGTCGAAATGAAGGCAATATTGTCAGAACGCGCCTACGTTTTTGTTTTAATCAAAACACCAAAGCAGCAACACAACTCGGCAATGTTTCCCCAGTAATGATCTGGCAAACTGTAGTTGCACCATTAGACAAGGGTCATTAACTCGAAGCATGCAACGGGGTGGGGTAAGGAGGAGGGGGGGGGGTGTGGTAGGTCAGACTGTGTGTGTCGAGTAACCCACAGCGTAAGCTTGCAAGTTACCAGAGCAACGTCAAACATCTGCTTTGCACGCCCCCCCGCCGCATGAACCACTACCACCCTCCTCCTCTTCAGCCACAAGTGGCAGCATAGCAACACGTGGAACAAGCACGCGACGAGAGACAGGCAGCTGCTGCTGCTGCCCCCCCTTTCACCCGCAGTCAGGCCCCAACACATAAATCACACGACCTGCCAATATTCGGGTTACACGTTTAATCCGTTAACGCGTCACACAAAAACCGCAGCGTGTATTCGCGACGCGTGCACTTTCGGGATACCTCGTGGCATGTATTATAGTTAAGGACGGCTTGAAATGACGGCGCCGTTTCAACTGTACCCCCACCAAACGGGAGCAATCATTGGTTGATTTTTTAATAAAAGTGTATACTGCATTACCAGCCTCGAGCTGAGCAACGATAACTATGATTTCGCGATGTAGCGCACGGTAAAGCGATACAATAAACTATAAGAGGTCAACTTAAACTCAGACCTAAGTCATCTAGGGTTGTGGAATCCATTCAGTGTTTATGGCGCAAGTACAAAGGTCTACCACCACGCAAAAAGATACCCCAAGTGATTAGGCGTGTTTCACTAACCACCAAGATCACGATGGCTAAAAGTTTTAAACATCTGCACCGTTTGTTTTACCTAGACACAAATTAGAAACGTTTTCGTCACAAGAGCTGCACCAAGATGCAAAAACGAGAATTGTAAAATACCGATTTAAAGCCTTCGTGACTGCAGGGATTCATCTTCTTGGTTCTTTCGGTAAAGTCACGTAGAAGGGAAATAATAAAGTAATAAAAATAAAACATATATTATTTTATTATGTTTTATTTTTATTATTTTATTATTTCCCTTCTACGTGACTTTACCGAAAGAACCAAGAAGATGTAAAATACCGCTTAAATGTTGTTTGGCCATCACAGCCTGGGCCGGTACTCGAAACCGCGTTGGGTTATTTTAAGTTCATCGTCTACTGTAAAACGCATGCCGCACGTGCTTTTTAAAAGCACACGGAAAACAATGCACGCCGCAGCGGATACACATCTACAAATGGTGCAGAGAACGCCACAAGCCTCTTAATTTGCACTCTCGAGTGCTTCTCGAATGGCTTTCCGCGGGTTCGAAAAATACCCTCGCATTTTTTTCTCTCTCTCTCTTTTGACACAATGCGAAGAAAGCCAACGTCACGTCCGTCTCCACGTTACAGTGAGAGCGAGTCGCGTGAACTTTAGCTCGGGCCAAAAGGCACAAAGCAACCCTCCTCCCACCACCACCTCCCCTCCCACCACGAGCAGGAAAAGGCAACGCGCAACACAACCCCGTCCACAAATCAATCAATCCTCTGCCATGACGACACAGCAGCCCCACACGTACAGCAGCCTGCGTTGTTTGGTCACGGTGAACAAAATAACTATCATTAACGGATGGCTTGATTTGTGGCACATGGGGCGAGTGGACTTGCATGCAACGAAGCCATTGGTACCTTTAACGCTGTGAAGTGCCACGCACTGTACAAATTATACTACCTCTGCATACGGTGTGTGGTCACGATTATCACGGCCAAAAGGGGGTCAAAGTCGTTGCATCATCGCGATTCACTCCCTTTTCTTTAGACTTAGATCACAACGTCTTTAACAGAGTTTTAAAACCGAATTTGATATTTTGCCGCATAGGCAAGTCTAAAAATGTCTCCGGTTTAAAGCGAGCCCTCCCACCAACCTTAACAACTCCCCTCCCCACTGTATCCGACATCAAACACGCGTTTGCACGTGTGAACAAATATCCTCTTTCCACCTCTGAAATATTCACACGCACACACGCTACTAACATGGAGAGAAAAAATAGAAACATTCGCTTATAGTCGATTGTCAACTTCTGGTGGTTGTTAGGGGGGAGAAGCATACACGTGTCTGTCTGTACATTTCTCCAATTCATCTTGGGTCAGCGTGAAAGACAATGAATCAATGTCCACAACCCTCCCCTCCCCTCCCCCCTGCCTGCATCGGTGTGTGCGCTCCGTTTTCAGGGCACCTCGGTCACATTTCTCCTGACAGCAATTCGTGGAGAGAGAAATCGACTGTAAACATTACCCCTTCTATGGCAAGACAAAAGTTGGCTTAAATATTCACAAAAAAAGAAATGCTTCACGTACAAAAAGACAACCCTGGCTTATTCGTCAAGTGGGTAATTCTGGTCGCTGTCACGTACCACCACCACTACTACTAGAGGGTTAATCCTGACCCAGTTTAGCTCTGTGCGAGAGTAGAATGAGCCGGTGGAGACTGCACCTTACCCTTGCCTTTCACCAAATGAGACGGGGTCAGGAACGAGCTAACTTCAGCCACAGAGCAGAGATGTTTGTAACAAACGTTTTCTCGAACCAAGGGAGTAAACTAGGCATGTCTGGTCTCTACTTTTAACCTAGGATACAACTTCAGACTCGTTTAAAACGCAATGACACACCGATTAGAATGAGAAAACGGTATCCGACACAAAAACAAACCCGTCACACGATATACATGCCCGTTTTTTTCCCTGTCAGCTTCGCGTTGGGATTAAAAAGTGACCATCGAGCAATTTTACAACGCGTTAGTTAAAAGGTTCGACTCCCATTCCCCGGTCGTCCCGCTAATCTCTTGCAGGGGGAAAAGTGCCGTCTGGCGTAGTGGAGCTGACGTCAACAACACCCCGTGACACTGTTTTAAAGTCTATGCTTCCATTACAAAACATGCGCTCTAAATGACCTTTTGAGCTGTTTCAACAATACATGCAATAAAAACAACCGGTTTGCCATTAGCCAGCACCGAAAGTAAGACATCTTATATTGGAACTAAGGAGGTGGGTAGACTTTACAATTTTTTTAAAGTACGACTTATCGTCGTGAAGAAAGGTTGCACAACCCCCATTAATTATCGACACATGACGAGGCTTGCCTTTATCCAGCAGTGGACCAACAAAGAGCATAACATTATTCCAGGTTCCATTGTGCCGAGACGAGAAGGGGGGGGGGGAGACCTGTTAACCCCTTTCGACCATCTCTCCACTTTAACCACAACCCCTAGATCCGCGCTTCTCAATTAAATACTTTAAGCCACGTGACAAGGCCTCTTATTTAAACCAGACGAAACCCAATTGGACGCAGGCGTTCGATGGCGAGATCTCGTTGCGAAATGCCACCGTCCTGTCACAAAGGGAGAAACCGGGGTCGTCGGTTTGATTCCATTGGGGGTATTTGGGGGTTTACTTTTCGTGGAAGAACCTAGGCCAGGGGTCGGCAACCAAAATAACAAGAAGAGCCATTTCTTTCCAATTCGGTACAAAATTCAGGATTTCAAGAGCCGCAATGCATCTGAGTACATACTGTACATACAGTACATATCGTCAAGAAGCAGCCCGTAAAGAGCCGCATGCGGCTCCGGAGCCGTAGGTTGCCGACCCCTGACCTTGGCGAACCTGGGCTTGTGTGTCTGTGTAGAATTATGACGACTAAGGCAAGAGGTATTTGCTTTCTCACGGTGGCCAAGAGCCCAAAAAGGACAACAAATTCGTTTTCGCATGACAGGGGCGTGCGTACAGGCGCGATATCCAATTCACACATTCCGCGTTTTATATATATAAGGGACGCGTGCGTGTACGAACGATCGCTGCTACACTGTACCATGAAAATCCCCTTCACAGTAACGACGCGAAGAGGGATATCTCATTCAAACATTCCAGCTCCACAAAGAGCACGCGATGACTATTATTTAAGCCGCGCAACAAGAGGCTATTGATACAACCTCCACCACCACCCTCTTTCACGAGGATCAGACCACCTCTGGAACGCCGAGTGAAGCTACAGAAAGGTCTCTACTGGAGGGGGGGTCCTTTAAGCCCGAAGACCCCCCCCACTACTACTACTACTACTACTTCCCCATCCACCCCAAGACCCCCTTAAGTCCCTTGATTTCCCGGGACCCAGGTCGGTCTACTCACACGGCGTGCGGGAGTCGCGGCGGCTACTTGATCATCCCCCTCCGTCGGCAGACGGCGAGAACTCCTCTCTACTCAGCAGTGGAGGATGTCTTGCTTGTGTTGTTGTTGTTGCTGTTGTTGTTGTTGTTTACGATTGCCTCAATCGCGTCGATGTTGATATTCTTGCTGCTCGCCGCTTTAAGTTGCTGCCGATGTCAACGTCGTTTTTCTCGCTCTCTCCCCTTTCTATTGCTGGATTATGTTATTAGAGGTACGTTTTGCGGTCGTTGTTTTGATTAATTGTGTGTTAATGTAGTGGTGGTATTACGTATGCGTTTAATACTGTTACTAATGTTTATGCTTATGCGTAGTCTATGTTAATGCTTATATTAGCCGTTGTGATTTTGTTCGTATAGTTTAATAGTATCCCGTATTTCTGTTGCTTACAGTGTAGGCAGAATAGTTTATCAGCTGTTTATGTATGTACTCCGTATTTGTAACCAATGCCGTTTCGTGGTATTCCCAGTTTATGTTTGCGGCGTATCCACGTTAACGCCGACGTCGAGTAGCCGCTTGTAACGCGGCAACCGGTCGCGTGTAATTTCTCGCGTTAACTCTCGCGGCCTTTCGCGTACGTCCACGTTTACCGTCGTTGTTTGTGTCTCTATTATCGCTTATCGCCGCCGTCGCTTCTTCCCCGGGGCCTATACTAGGCGAGGGGGGGGGGTGGTGAGGCGGTGATGTTGTGAGGAACGCGGTTCCCAAACTCGCAGGCCGCACGCGCGCGTGGACTTGTGAGTTAAAACAAGAGAGGGGATGGTGGTGGGTGAAACAAGATGTACGTGTACAATATTCACCACCACCGCTACGATCCAAGCACCAAGCACGGAACACCTCGAGACACCCACCACCACCCACCCACAGGCCGCCGGCGACACGAGCAGTTAAAAAAACGAGTAGGCGACTGATGTGTTTGAAACAAAAGCGGTGACTTGGTGGTTAGGGTTCTCGGTGCGGGTAGGAGAGAGGAGAAGACGGTGGTGGCGGTGAGTACGAGGAGGTGGTGGAAGAGAGGAGGAGAGGAGGAGGAGGAGAGACGTCAGTAAAGTCGCCGTCGTGTCCACCGACTTCGCGCCGCCAACTTCACGCCAGCTCCACCAACATGGCGGCTCCGCCTACCCACAATGCCGCCGCCGCCGACGACGTCGCTGTCGTCGCCGTGACGTCACGACGGGTCGCGCCGCGCTCGCCTCGCGCCGATAAACGCGATTTTATTTTGTAGTTTTTTGATAAAAAAACATTACTTGTTTTTTAATAGAAAAAAAAGAGTTTTCCTTTACTTGAATAGAAATAAATGAGTTTTCATTTTTTTTTATAAAAAAATATTAGTTTTAATTTTTTTTGAATCGAAAAAAGTAGTTTTCATTTTTTTTTTATAAAAAAAATTAGTTTTCATTTTTTTAAATCTAAGCAAAAATGTAATTTTTTAAAATAACATTCTTTTTAAAATAATATTTGTAAAATAATACTTTTAATGTTTTTATTATTTTAAATACGTAGGCTTCATGTACAGGGTGATCCCACGAGTCTGGAACCATAGGGGTTGGGGGGGGGGACAGAAACAACGTCATGTTTTTGTTGTTTTTGTTGTTGTTGTTGTTTCCGCAGGCCCATGATGTCTCTTGAGCAAGGGAGAGCGAGTCTCGAGATAATTCTACTCGTAGGCAATCGGAGGGAGGTTGCTGTTGAGATCAATAACAGACTTGCAATCCAGACCGCGAGCCAATAACGCAGAGCTGAGTTAGTTTTTTCCCTGTGATTCCAGAATGATGGGACACCCTGTGCTGTACAGCTTTTTTTGGTTTTGGGTGAGATGCGTAAATATATAAATGTGTCGTTAAACCCGCCACCACCCGACAGGGACAATTTGGTGAGGTTTGTTCACGTAAAACAGAACGTGGCAATTCGTTGTGTGGCACATTAGGAATGGATCACTCTTTTGGTTATGTCCTTGTGCAGCAAGGGAGTAAAGTGTGGTTCTGTGAAAGTCCTGATGTGCTGTGCAGTGCATCAATGCATGTGTGTACAGCAGCATGTGATGACTGAGCCGGGCCTGTAGGTGGCTGGCAGGGTTATTGAATGACCACGCGGATATACCAGTCACATGGTTAATGGCGGCTCGGGAGCAAGGCTGGTTGTAACACACGTGTTGTTGCATTTTACAGAGTGACGGTGCTGTTCTTCCCAAGATTAATATTAACCACAATAAATAAATGTGCTTGCCCTCGATTTGGAGCACCTGCCCACGTCCTTCATTTCGAGTGTGCAACAGTTGCTAGCACATCAGCACACCGCTGTGTTGTAGAGCAAAGCCACAACATTTACAATCTTGAGTACAACGTTTCGCGAGTAATTAGAACCAGCATCATCAGGCGACAGCCAGATTTGTGGAGAAATCCTCGTGTTTCGTTCCTTAAATAGAGGGGTAGATGTGATCACATCACTTTTGAGCTCTTCTAGAGCAAAGTGGAGGGGGGGGGGATTAACGAATGCATTTCAAGAAACATGACTCCTTGTAAAAAAGGTGTCAGTTGTGTTGCCAGATAGAAGGGTAAAAAAACAATTATCATTTCAAGAGACTTTCGCAACCAATATCATCACATCTATCTTCATACATATATTTAACTGTGTGCCATCTTCGTGGAAAGGGTGTGGTGTGGTAATGTTCCATCATAATATATTTTAATCTCATAATAGATTATATCGATTATGACTTGTGTAGAAATGTATGGGTTTTTTGGATTGGTATGTGACTTGTAGAACGGTTGTATTTGGTCGAAGTTACTCCTCCAGCCACTAGAGGCCGCTACTGCACTGATCGGATCGCTAAAATCCTGACTCGTGACAATGTGGCGAATGGTTTACACAACTCGGCGTGAAGTGGGACTTGGATTCACAGATGAACACCAGCGATCTAGCCTGGATAGGACTCGGATGGATAACCACCTTGCAGAACGCCCGGTGCAATGCACGTGGTGGACAACAGAGGAGAGTGCAGAGAAACCCATTATATTACATTCTTCCTCCAACCCTCCATCGGCCATGGTAACCTGGACTCCCATGGTGAACTGGACTCCCATGGTGAACTGGACTCCCATGGTAAACTGGATTTCCAGGTTAAACTGTATTTTCATGGTGAACTGGACTCTCATGGTGAACTGGACTTCTATGGTGAACTGGACTTCGATGTTAAACTGGACTCCCATGGTAAACTGGACTCCCATGGTAAACTGGACTCCTATGGTAAACTGGACTTCCATGGTAAACTGGACTCCCATGGTGAACTGGACTTCCATGGTGAACTGGACTTCCATGGTAAACTGGACTCCCATGGAAAAACTGGACTCCCATGGTGAACTGGACTTCCATGGTGAACTGGACTTCCATGATTAACTGGACTCCGATGATCAGGGGTCAGAAACATGGACACTGACAAACAACATTTGGAATTAAACACAATAGCGTCTAAATGAGACGCTGTACATAAAAAATGGGGCATGTGCATAATGTGCCTAAAAATAGATGTCTTCATTATATTTATGAAGTGAGATGCGATTGGAGTCACACTATAAATAAAAGACAGTCATATACAGAAGAAACAATACAAATGTGGCAGTACATATATTTCTTGGCTGGCTACCAACATGCACCACAAGTTGGTCTATGCAACAGGGCTTACGTGTGGGGCAGATCCATTGGTGAGCTGTGTATTCTCTCACACGTCTATGCTCCCGTCGTCACGACCTCTGACTGCCCAGCTTGACGACATGACATGCGCAGGTAGGCATTCATTGAGCAGTGAGATGCATTCAAAGTCTAAATGTGAGCCTAGTATTGGCCCTCTCCTAGGTCTACTCAGCCTATATTGAGAGCCTAACACAGTGAGTCCATTCATTTATGTTATTTATAACCAAGTAAAATTCACTATACAAGTACAGTACATGCTTTGTTAAATGTTAATTCAGTAGGCATGCAATAAATTATTGCTTATAATATATTCTCATGCTCAGGATTCATACGTAAAATTGTCTCTCGGAATTGATTACATTTTACATGCTCAACGAACGTTACGCTCATAGGAAAATCAAGACAGGAGGAGATATGGAACAGATAATATGTACAGTTGAGACAGTACTAACAATGTTTAAAAAATGTTAACAACATAGCAACGTTTATATTCTTGGTTATTTCGATAAAGTCACGTAGAAGGGAAAGAAAAAAAAAATCTCACGACGTTTCGACTGCAACACAAGCAATCATCATCAGGTGTGAAATCCATGTGATTGCTTGTGTTGCAGTCGAAACGTCGTGAGAAATTTTTAATTGTTTTATATATGTATTTTTTTTATTATTTCCCTTCTACGTGACTTTACCGAAAGAACCAAGAATATGAATCCCTGCAGTCACGAAAGCTTTAAATACCAAAAATAGCAACGTTTATTACGCCACGTTTATGGGCCTTCTGGATGTAAAAAAACACATCAGCATTTGTTTCACCCGGCAAACTCTGGACTGGTTTCATATTTCTCTCTCTCGTTAGCAGAGTGGTCTGTTAAACAAATGCTGCCTCATGTTAGAGGCAAGAGCTCTTCACTAACACCACGGAGCCCTTTCGTTGCAGTGCAGTCACATTGCACCAAATGTCGTGTTTTCGTGGTGGTTTCTGAGTAATTATAATGATGTAGATAAATAATAATGCCCATACGTTGACACAAATATAAACACAATTGCATGAAGATGTGCCAAATATAGATGACTTCGGGTATCTAACATAGCAAGGGAATAACACGGAAGGTTGTTTAAAGAATGCGTTTTAATTTTGGGAAAGTAAAACACCGCTTCTGGGGGCTATTGTGTAAGGGGACTGGGGAGAAATGTCTTTGTTTCCATTGTGTTTGATAATAAGGAATCTCTCTGGCTAAGGGGGGGGGGGGGGGGGATAAGCGACTTTTCTCAGAGAACAATAGTTTTGTCCATAAGCCTAGACGGTATTGGTCTGGAAAGCCACTTGGCTGATGGATAAAAAAAACGCAATTTTATTTATACGTCGACAGATTGGAGTTCTGCTTATACAGTATTTTTTTTATTTTGCCCCATTATGTTCCACGGCAAAGCATGATGAAACTATGTACGGTAATACTTGAATTAAGCGATTGAGACACAGGCTTTGTGGATGGAGGAGTGTTCGATGGGGGGGGGGGGGGGGGAATGATCGGTTAATGAGTTTAATAATTGAAGCCATGTTTACATTGGTCCAATTATTAAGCACAGTTTGGCAGTGTTGACTGTTTGACTTCGTGCAGATAAGCTTATATTGTTTGTGCAAAGGCGTGTTGATTTGGAGGGGATGGATAGGAGGGTACGAATGGTGATTTGAAGCATGAAAAGGATAGGTGACGTTTGATGTCTGAAAATGAAACTCTGGGCAGACATTTTGAGGGCAATCATTTTGAGGAAAGACTTGCCATGGAGTTTGGCAGGTCCTGTGCCAGAGAGAGAGAGAGAGAGGCAGGCTTTGTTTCTGATGATAAGGAGAGGTTGTCAGCGGCTGATATAATTCTTGGCGAGAGCTTGTCTGTATCACATATATGTGCAATTAACATGACCAATGAATAAATGACAGTTACAGCTTCTCCATTATTAGTACACATCATTGAGTTAAGTGGTTTTGCTTGGGATTGCAACACTACGATAATGGACAAGGGTCAGTTTAACAGGCCGCACTCTGATGATGAGTCTCATCGAGTCCCCTGTGTGTTCTCCTGTCTGGACCCACGTGTTGGGGATGATGTCACTGCCAATGGAAAAGAGAGAGATGGAGAACAAAGGGGATTCTGACCAAGCAGCTTGAACTAGGCCTGTGGGTTTTCCAGCAAAGAATGATCAACTAAGTGGCCAGTCTTCTTGGTTCATTTGGTAAAGTCACGTAGAATGGGAATAATAAAATAGAAGATGAATCCCTGCAATCACGAAAGCTTTAAATCGAAATTTAAGTGGCCAGTACTAAATTAAACTTTTATTTACCAGGTAAAGACCACTGAGCTCCTAGCTCTTTTTTCAGAGGCAACCTGGCTACACACGGCAGCTCATCGAAATGGTCATGATATGTGGGCATTTATAGTCGA